AATTCTCCATTCAGACTGCAGTTGTTGACTTCTTTACTTTTGGATTAAAATCTTCAAGCTTTTTTCTTTCAGAAAATTCATTATTGAATTTGTTCCACTGATTAGCAATCAGTATGAGGAAGGTAGGGAAAAGCCAAAATCATTTTTATAAATTTCCAATATCCTCCTTTCTTTTTAAATTCTGAAATGTAGACCATGATATTCATGTAATATAAATGCTTGCTGCCTTTTCTAAAAACTCTGATGCAGATATTGATCTAACTTCAAATTGTTTACATAAGCCACAAGGTTGACTTTGAATTTTCTGATTTCGTTTCCTTTGCTGTCTACATATTTTTCTCTCACTTAATAATTTTTTGTAAAGTGTAATTAACTCTGCTTCTCTCTTTAACTCATCAATTGTCACATACAAAGAAGAATTTGCATGAATATTCCTATTTAATCTGTTGTAGTACAATGCCATGTTGTAGTCTTCTTAGTAACTTTTTTAATAGAATAAGAAAATCCACTATTCACTAAAATATTTTCGCCCACTTGACTACCTCCAGTGGAGATTGTTTCCAGATTATCTTCCCAGGTCCTTCGATCCAGATATGAATGATTAGAATGAAAATAGTGAAGATTTATATACTTTAATATTTGCCTCTAATATCCAATCATCATTATACAATTGCCAAACTTGGGCATTTTAATTGAATTACTCTTGTAGATTGTTACCATTCTGCTGCTATCAGGTGTGATTTTAAATGTAATGGTACCGCCAGCACTTCTCTTTTTTCGTGAAGCTACTACATAGAAATAAAATTTAATAAGCCATTTGGAGCAATAACTCCACTAAGCGCAACAATATATAATCTCTTAGAAGTAGATGGGCTACTTCAGCCTTTAAAATTGTTATACTATTCATTTACTATGTGAATTTTAATACTGTATTCCAAAAGGAATCTCAACCACTTTCAACAATTTATGGTCTACTTTAGTTATATTTTGAATAAAACTACTTTTAAACAACTTACAAACCAGTTTTACCCTTTAAAAGCGTAGGAAACAGAAATAGAACTGTTATTTCAACCTTGTCACTGTTTGGAGAGAAACTAGTTTTGTATTCTAATAAGATGGAAAGAAAACTTTTAATTATTTGCTTGATTGTTTGCCTTTCGCTTCATACTTTTTCACTAGATTGGCCAGGAAGTAACTTGATATCAATTTTGGAAGAAATTGCAAAGAGAGAGGAATTGGAAAATATGCTTCGAGATGAGTTGTTCGAAAAAGTAAGTTACATAAGTTATTGCTAACAAGAAATTTAATCTTTATTATTTACAGCGTGAAAATTGTTATCAAGCCTGCAAACATCATAAAGGAAGAGCCTTTTTTGGATGCATGAAAGATTGCAGCGATTCTAACGCTGCTGCACAAAGTTTAGAAGACGACAGTACCTAAGAAAGAACTTAATAAAATTGCATGAGATCTTATAAATAAATTAGCGTTTGCCATCAGCAACAAATGAATTTCTTTTTGAATTAGTATTGAGTAGTTCATATAGTATGAACTACTATTGAGTATACAATACTACCTTATACAGTATAATAAGCATTAACGCAAACAAGTGCACTTCAGTTCGATATAAATCATTTTTGGAAAACTGTAGATTTAACTCAATAAAGTATTCAATATGAATGTTATACTGTTAAACGCTCAATACTATTATATAATGTATATCAAAATTCAAACACTTTCAAAACTCTGCAGTATCTAATCTCTAATTGTAGACAACACTGCACTGTTAGATGTAATTTGAATAAACAAAGATAGGTGATAGATAATCAGAATTTAAAATGTGTCCTAGTGATAACAGGTTGTTTTTTGAACAAAGTAGATACTTTGTATTCAAAAGTGTTTCAATACAAAAGCATATTAATTCAAATTATTTATTGAAATGTAAATTATATCAATACTCAAGGTATAAATATAATTGTCAATGATCCTACATTTCCGTCATCAGCTATACATCCAACGAATTTTAACTGTAGATTATCATTTTCTGATAATTTCATTAATACTCCACCAGATGCATAACCAGCAAATTTATTTTGAACTAAATTATTAGATTTGAAGACACGTGACCTTTTATGTCCATTAATGTCAATGTAGATCTCAATTTTATCATTTCGTTCATCACTCGGTATATTGAATGCAATATAATATGTACCGGTAACAGCGATTCTATATGTTCCACTGTTATGCCAACTGTTTCCGGTGTCAATTATAGGAGCTTGTCGAAAAGTTACTGTTGAAGAACTCTGAGAACAATCCTCATTACTTGAAGCAATTGAAAAAACTGGTAAACTTTCATTCAACTTGAATGAACATAGATATGTTAGATGGTCAGAATTTGAATATTGACTACCTTCATATGTTTTAAGATAAATGTGTTCACCAGAAAATAACCGTTGAATAATACTCAACGATTGTATAACTGGTGTTGTAGCATTGTTAGTGATTCTGATTTGGTTATATAACTCTGAAGAACTAAAAGTAGAATCAAATCTAAGTTCAGAACGTTTTGAATTCTTAACTGCTGATCCAAAATTTACAAAATAGTAGCCATCTTCAAATACTCTAAATCTATTAGAACTTTTCGAAAAACCTCTCATTGCAATAATATTTGGTAAAGGTACTTCACTGTAAGTAGAACTGAAGGAAGTGTCACGAGATGCAAACAAATAGTTGTTAGTTTTATAGTGAAAACCTAACCAGGATGTTTCTTTTCCATTTTCACTACCAATCAGATGTGAGGAAGAATGACGCTGTAAGATATATGGTTTATTAATATTTGTTAGTAGGAATAGTCCAGTTCTGGTTGTACTATCGATTGTAGCGCTTGAATTACCATATTTAAATAAACCAATGCTGTTTCCTGTATTGTCAAGCATTAGAGAAGTTGTATCCTGGCTTTCAATTGTTGCAGTTATTGAAAAGAAATACATTCCAGATTGGCTAATTCTTAGACTATTGTCTGATTGATCGAATAAGCCATTTTCATTTATATCAACAGATGTCCAGTGCACTCGACCATAGCTGACAGTTTCAGATGTTGACAAAGAGACCATAAATGCTGGATTTTTTCCACTACCTGTTGATTCGTGTTGATCTAGTTCAATTGATTTATCTGAATACTCTAATCCATCATCTTGAATAGGCAACTTTGATGCCCAACCTGACAAATTTGGATGTAGACAAATATAGATAAAGACTGCAAAAGATTATAAAAGAGACATTTGAAAAATTGCTGGCAAATTGACAAAAAAAAAAAAAAGAAACGAGGATAAAATACTTACCAGAAGCTATCAATGAAAATTTCATATTTTCCAAGTAACTAAGGATTCTTTTACTATCAGATTTAAAATTGTTTTTTGTTTTTATATATTCTTTCATGATGAGTAACATTGTAGGCTGATTTTTTATCAGTAGTACTAACAGAATAAATATGCTATTTCCCACCTTATTTTAGATTGTGTTTCAGAGAAAAAGAAATATTTTTGCTTAATATGCAAAAAAAGTGGGTCACAAGTCTTCAGTTATTGATTTTTTTCCCATCATTTTCTAACAAAAGGATGGAGAGTTATAGGCTATAACCTTATAGAATTTTCGGCTTCGAATACCAGTTTTTATAATTTATGTAAATCAGTATATATCGAAATGTCTACACACTTTGTGCATTGCACACCTAGTCAATTAGATTTTTATTTTAAAATACTTTTTTTTATCACATGAACTTTTGTTTTGCATTTTGTTCAATAATTTCATAAGGGTCAAGGACATTTGATGACTGCTGTTCAAATACAAGTGTTCAAGTATGCACTCAGTTTTATTTGTAAATTTATGTGATTTTCCAGTTAAAATGTTTATTTATAACGATTTTAAAGGTAAGATGAAAACCTAGTTTACAAAATAAGTATCACAACTGCGATAATTGATTGATTAACTGGTTTTTCAATGATTGCACATTCATTTTAATTCGACTACTGAAAAGCTTAAAATTTTAAAATTGCTGTTGTTGTAAATGAAGGTATTCCATTATCAATGGCATCAATTTTCAATACATATATTCTCCAGAATTGATTGGACCTCTTGCTGTAATTCTTCCATTTTTATATTATTAATATCTACTGGTATTGAAAGTGAATTAATTGTGTAGTATAGCCTTCCAGCCAATGTTCAACCGTCGTTATATTTGCAAACATATGTATTTATACATTTACCATTCAATGAACAGTTTCCTTCGCATTCTGCCATCTCGTCACAGGACTGATCAATAGAGTCGTCCTTGTGAAAATTGGGTAATGAATCAGACTGCGAGTTGATTAAATCTGTCATTGTCCCCATATTTCGTTGATTTTTGGAAATTTCGAATATAAGCGCTTTGAAGATGAATTTTAATGAGTTTTTGGACTATTTGTCATCTGTTCAAAATCATAGAACACTACCAGTTTAATTGTTCTTTTTATGGATAGACGGTTAACGCCTACAGTTTTGTTGTTTTACCCTAACCCTAACCAAGCCTTGGACCCTGTATTGAGGGCTCCATTATTCCTAACCCTTGGTTTGGACCCACCTAATTACAAATCAATTGCTTAAATATTTCTCCTAACCCAATGCCAATCAAAAATCTTACCCCAAAATAACTCAACAGCCCCCGTTAAAAAGAGTATAGGTTTTTTTATAGAGTATCGTCACCAATAAAAGATTTAAATAATTGATCCTAAACATTATAGGACTTTAAAATTCTCTTGTAGTGTTCATGATCATTGTTATGATTGTAGTATCTGAAATTTTTGCAGACCAACTGCATTTTAGATCTCTTTTGAAAATGATTTTCTTCTCTGCTTCTTCTCCAACAATATTAACTTTTTTATTTGTAATTACAATTTTAATACTTTCCTTGTTGAATAATAATCTGGCACCCGTAACAATCTTTAAAGACTTGAGTCTTATAGGACCATTGGAAATGTGTTGTCCTTCTTCCAGTATAAAAATATTAGTAAACGAACGGATTTCCATACAATGTCAAGGACGATTGTTTTATCTGCATTAATCTATTATCTTTTCCTATCACGCCGAATATAATAAAGTATATTTGTCTATAAGCTTTATACAAAAATATCTATTGCGATATTGTTCATAAGGCCTATAAAAAGAGTTTCTTATGAATTTTTCCCACCATTTTTGAACCAAAATGGAAGGGTTCTAATATTTTTGGGGAATAACTTGATAAATGATTTGAAAAGAAGAATACAGTTGTAAAAAAGAAAAAGTAATAGAGATAAACATGTATTGTGACCTACTTTTTACCTAAGATATTACAAGTACTAAATAGTTAACGATTTACGAATCATAAAATCAAAAATGACGTCATGATAGTGTATAATCTATTTTGAATTGTTTTATTTAGATACTGGAAATATAGTCAAGGATATTAGTTGGGAATTGAATGGTTTCAAATCTCCTTCACCTTGAATTGAAAGTCTGGACCCTTTGTTTAATCTTACCAAACCAGATCTTGAGGATGTGTCAATGGTTGATGTTACTGTAAATCCTCTTAGAACAGCTAAAACTTCAACACCGTCAACAACAACCCTTGCTGATCCTCTAACATTAGCACCAACACCAATTGAGACATCAACATTAAAGAGACCATCCTTTTGGCTAACGTATTCCATGGTTGTTGAATTCCAAGAATTGAGTGGATCTATTGCAATGCTATCATAGTTAATTTTCGTATAAGTTGAACTAGAAAATTCGCTACTCCTATATGCGTAAAAAGCCTCAGAACTGGAATTTAAGGCCAATGCGCATAAATAAAGTTCAAGATTAGTAGATGACCTAATTTCTCCTTCGATTAAATTCAATGCTATTTCATCATTACTCTGTAAAGATACTAGGAAACCTCTTGAAAATTGATCATCATATATGTCAGTGTTTCCAACTCTTGCTAAAGTATAATTAGTGTTTCTAGAATTGATGATGACGTCTACACGAACATTTTTTGTGTATGACGTTCCGACGCCAAATTGAATGTAATATAGGTCACTGATGCCAACTCTAAAATTCTTATCAACAGCAACAACATTCCTAGCTGTACGAACGTTTGGTAGCGATATTAAACCAAGTGTTGTTACACGATTAATGGAAGTGGCGAATAACGCCGCTCCTGTATTATAATAAAATCCCGACCATGCAGTCTCCTTTCCAGCTTCTCTACTAAAATACATACCATCTGTATGAGGTGCTACATAGGGCGAAGATAGAGGTGTAAGGAAGAGAATTGTCGTTCTCGATTTCACTAAAGCCACTCTAATATTGTCGAATTTTCTTTCTTTTTTCAATCCAACTATTGTAGGCAATCCAGTCATTTTTAAATCAACAGGTGATCTAAAAGTTGCTCCAGCCGTTAGTGAGAATACATATATTCCAGATTTCTTAATTGTCAATTTATTTGTGGAGGAATTGTAGATATTCAAATTATTGAAATTTACTCTATTAAACTCAGTAAAGCTTTCCGTTCTTATGTTAGATAGGAGAAAAGCTGGCTCTAAAGTCTCAATACCAACACAAGGAGGGCCTTCGCATGGTTCCACGTCAACTTCACTTCCTACACAATCAAAACCGCCATTAGAAGGAGGAGGATTGTCGCATTCTCTAGTTCGAACTCTTGTTCCACTACCGCAAGACGGCTGGCACTGTTGCCAGGCTGACCAGCTGGACCATCCTCCCGGTATAGGACATTCAGCCTCCTCTAATGGTACACACATTCTCGTTGAACAATCTCTTACATTTAAATCTGGACTAAAGAAATATCCATTAGGACATTGCTGAGGCCATTGTTGACCGTTTACGCAATGGAAATACTGTCTGCAATCAAACTTATTCGGAAAAGTTCCATTTCTATTTGGAGGACAATCTTCCACTTGAGTTTTATAACAAGTGCCACTAAGATCATTGGCTACTGGATTACTTTCGGAACATAGCGGAAACTTTCTGGAATGTTGCAGTTGATTCTCTCCCGGACATTTAGAATCTTTCGGTTCTACACAAGTTGAATATTGGCAGTCAGTTAGAGAAATTGTAAAATGGAGGCCAGGCGGACATTGCTGGGCGTAAGATGTTCCATTAATACAATGGTAATAAATAGCGCAATTATTTGGATCGGCAAATGCTCCATCCAGTGGTTTAAAATCCTCATCCACCGGACATAGAAAACAGTTAGTTTGTCTTGCCAAAAACCCTGCAAAATGAATACCAGTTTTTATAATTAAAAACAAAATTATTATATTAATCTATTGTTTTTTACCAATTAAAAAAATAAGACAAAATGTTTTCATCTTAATTTCTGACAGAGCTCAATTAAATTTTCTTTTACTTTTATAAAACTTAAAAAATAGATTAATCAGCAAATTTTTAACAAGTTATTTTCTTATCTTCTTGTGCAGATTTAAAGAGATAAATCATTTATTATCAATGATAAAATTCTTACTTAAATATATCAGTTTTTAAAAAAATCTGATTTAGTTTTGTTTTTTTCTGTTTTTTTTCTGGTGTATCATTTTACTGATAACAGCTTTTTATCTTTTATCGATTACAAAGAAACCTATTCAAAAAATGCAATAAGTTAATATGAAAAAAAGTGTATGGTGACAGGCAATGAATCATGAATCTACTGTCAATAAATAAATTTGAAATGCCACCTCTTTTTAAGAGTATAAGTTATAAATAAGGAACTTGCCCATTAGACTTTGTAACATTCTCCAACTGCAAAGTGCCAATTGCGGGTTAAAGACAAACCTCACTAAAACAATTAATTAAAAAGTGTTATGTACAATGATTAATCTTAAATATTAAAGTCTTTCAATCTCAAACGCACTAATTAAAACCTTGTTGCCAGTAGATACTAAAAAAATATTTACCATGTAGATGGAGACAAGGACAAATACACCATTATCTCTTTTTTTTCAATGTATTGTTTCTTGCATTTGTTAATCCCCCAGATTAATGACAAGGTATTATAGTGTTTTCTTAGAAAAAAAATCAAAGTCTATATAAAGAACAAATGTCCAAAATGCTGTTTTCTTGCAGTCTTACATGATTATCTCAATGGTATGCACAACATAACTCTTAGTAATCATCATTTATCAAATCCTTTAAGGTCTATAATTGTTGGTATTCCTACAGTATTAGCATTCTTCTCTACACTATTTGCTTTGATTTTCCTTCCATATTCTAAAAATATCCCAAAGATATCATTAATTTTGCTGATGAATGTATCAATTGCTGATTTTCTAATGAGTATTGTTTATATACTATCACTCTTTACATCAATTATTGGAAAATATACATTAGGAATTGTATTTTGTCAAATTAGTGGTGTATCCTTACTTACTGGATTTACAATGTCCTTATGGTGTATAACACTAATATCTTTTGATAGATATATTGCTATCAGACATTTTGACAGGTAAATATTATAATTTTTCATTTTGGCAAACTGATTTCAATAGCTGCCTTCCTTTTTTTTAAAGATATAAAACTGTCATCACTAAGAACAGAATTATTTTCATTATCATATTTTCATGGATAGTTATCTTTACTTTTGGATTTTTAACTTTGATTAAAAGTCTCAATTTAACAACTTTTAGGTTTGTTCAGGAGCAGATATTATGCGAACCAGTTCTATCAATTAATTTACATGCATGCTTTTATATTTTAATGGGTCCATTCTTAACATCTACAGTACTGTTTATCACAACTTTTAAAGCTATTTCACTATTAAAGAGGCAACAATTGAAAATTTATTCACATAATCAAAAAAGTATAAATTCAACTTCAAAGAGAAATTTAAGAGTAATAAAACTTTTAATTTTTACAATTATTTCATTTTATATATTGTGGAGTCCTTTTAGTATTGTTGTTGCGATAAGTATATTTAATGAGAACTTCTTTAATAGAACAAAAAATCATAGATTTTATCTGACATGGATTGGAGCCCTGAATGGCTTTGTCAACAGTATAGTCTATATTTTTATATTTCCAACTGTAAAGAATAAAATTCTGGCAGTTGTTAATATTTTCATTTGTAAACAACTTAAACATTGCTAAAAAAAAGTGTGTTTTACCTTGATTGGATAACTTTTACAACAAAAATGGAGATTATTGATAATTCAAAAATTCACCAATTCAATGGTTTTCAGGTGAAATTCAAAAATCATACTCTTTTACAGATGCTTAAAGAATGAAATTTAAGAAGAAAGCCTCCGCAATTATGGTGCCTATTGTCTTTTCCATATTTTCATTTGTTTTTACAACATTCCTTCAATAAAAATTCACACTTAATTTAGTGTTGTCATACATGAGACATTTTTCAAACAATTACTCAAATTGATCAATCTCTTATTCAGTTAGTTGGAATGATATTTCAAAATGTAGTTTGCAAAGAATGACATCCATTGATGTCGGGAATGATGTTTTCCTTTGGAAGTTTGATGCCAATATTTTCTTTTCCATCGCCAAGATCCTTAAAACAGAATTGTAAAGATGAAGAGATCTCTCTAACAAAAAAAATTCAAACTACAAACATAATAAAAGAATGAAGAAAGGCCAACGTTAATGATTGATAAATTCAATTCTTGCGTAACATTCAATGCTCTGAATAGACAGAAATTTGTCATTAACAATTCAAAATTGTTCTTTGGATAGAATCTTTTAGATTTTGTGTATTTTTGAAAGTATACTTCAAAAATGTCAAACATCAAACCAAATTGAAAACATTCGTTGTGGAAATGAGCAACTATGAAAAACAATACAAATATTTTAATTAAATATATTTCACACTGTGCCCAAAAATTCCTAGTTTTACCCTGACCTTGACCTTGGTACTAATAACTTAATTTATGAATCTACATTAAATATAAATAATTTTTATAGATACTTTTAAATTTGTAATTTTTCATTACACCCACTTCAATTTTCTTGCTGAAAGATGAAGAAGAAGAAGAAGAAGAAGAAGAAGAAAAGAAAAGAGATTACACATTCATTAACATTTACTGCATTTAAATATTTACTTGTATTTGACCTTTTTTAAATTCAGAATTTGAGAATAGATTAAAGGATTAACAAAATAATTCACTGATAAAGAGATAATAAATGCCCAAATATACGTATCCTGCGTCAATATACTCTTTTCAAAACACGCCATAAGACCTAAATTAGTAAAAATATTCGTGGAATTTGTAAATAAACTGGACAAACAATATTCAAAAGAATAAAAACAAACTAAAGTATGATAAAGGAAGCCATGTAAAACAATTTGACAAAACAATAATTGCTCCCACTTTAACTACTTTTTGAATTCTTTTATTCTGTTCAATCTTTGATAGAATGAAACTTTGCTTTTGAATAAAATAGATAATTTGACAATATAATAGTGAAATTATTGCGCAATTTATCATTGTTAACAATGCGAAAATAATAAATGAATACAACCATCCGTCGGGTTTTTCATTTGTTAAATTTAGGGTAAAACAAATAGGATATCTGGCATAGTACGACTGAAAATTGGAAAAGAAAGTGTTTGTCACCATTTTGAAGTGAAATTTTTATACAGACATTAAACAAGAGATACGGTAATAAGGATAGAATGAATGATGCTAATATGGCGATTGCAATGACGAATAGTGATTGAAATTTTGTTGTATCGATAAACTTTAGTTCATATTTAACCATAGAAAACTTTTGGTATGTTATTAACAAAACAGTAATTTGCGATAGAACTGATGAGAAACTGGCCAATAGACCAGAAAATGTACATAATTTGCTGTTTTTCCATTCATCAGCTTCGTCTATAAATCTACTGGAAGCCAGTCTATCTTTTACACTTATGATTAGAAAGTAAATAAATCGGAAAAGTAGAGTAGCATTTGAAATCGATGAACGCTCTTCTTCATACTTTTTACTGATATTCCTATACAGAATACGTTCAAAACGAAGCTGATTACTGCAAAACTATTGGCGAAAACTGAAAATAACATAACGTTTTCCAAAGATTATATTTTTGATATTTAAATTTGACCTACTTTTTAAAAAATTCGAATTGATTATCTCTCCACATGAATTCTGTTCCAATTTTTTTGGTAAACATTCTTCCAAGTGAAATCTATCGACGAAACAACAATACTTGTAATTGTCGGATATTAATCTCTTTAGTGAGAAGACGTTTTCAAACGCTTTCTTTACAGGATCTTTCAATTTAAATTCAACATTGTTCATATGAAATTCTTGTAAATTTTTCAAATTTTTCAAACATTCTTCGCATAATTCGAATATTTTTGAATTTGAAATATTTAAATATTTCAATTGAATTGAATATTTGAAAATATTTGAAGAGACTCTTTGAAAGTTGTAAAATGTTAAAGTTAACCTCAAAAGTGAACTTTTAAATACACTGCCAATAATTTCACCAATTCTACTCTCTAAAAGAATGATATTTTGAAGAAGATTTAAATTTTGAAAAGTTGTTGAATCTAATGAATGAATATGATTTTTAGTTAAATTTACAACTACAACATTTAAAAGATTTCTCATAAAATTAATATTTGTTAAATTTCCATTAAAAACAACCAGTTTTGTTGTGTTGGTGCTTAGTAATAGATTAAGAGTTTTAAATGATGGAATATACAATCTAGTAAGAGGGAAGTTCATTTTTTTTATTTCTTTTAACAAAATAACTATTTTCATACGATTGTGAGAGTCTACTTTTGATTTTATTGAATCTGCAACAATGAAAATGACAACTGCAAAACTGCAAAAAAAAAGTTTTGTATTCACTGTAATACTTACAAGGAATATTTAAAGATAAATAATAATGTGGTTGCGGTAAGCTTAAAATCATTTTAAGAGCGTGTTTCATTGATTCAACATCATTACTATGCCCAATATCTATGATATTCTTCTCATTTATCTCAATTCCAGTTTTGCAATCAGTTAAATAGACGCTTTCCTTTAAATTGAAACACCTTAAAGTCACTTTCTGCTTAAAATATCATAGAAATAATTTTCTATTTCAAATAAATAATTTAATCATTGGAAAATGGAAACACAAAGTTTTTAGGCCTATATAACAACTGCAAAAATAATTTACTTCTCAACAGAAAAAAATCAGATCGATCAGAGCAATAAACATGTAAATAACTATTAATGTGCGGAACGCATTGCCCAGTTTTGCAGCTACAATCAACATTCCAAGGTTACTTAAGCCTATTTCGAAGGAATTTATTGCAAACGATATAAATTTCGCTTCGTCCCTCAACGACACTCCGGATATATTATTCTGGCAAATTGTACTAGCTTGATTGAATGTTGACAAAGTGCCGTTTAAAGATTTACAAATGTAGTAGCAATATTTTAAGAAAATAAAAATGTTTGAACACTGTGGAAATTTTTTTGGGCAGTCTGTTCAAGTTGAAAAATAAGAAAGAAATTAAAAGAAAAACAGTAATTCTAATGGGAAAAAACATTCTTATAGTGTGATCATAACAAGTTATCCATAAATCATTGGGTTTCAATCTATTCAACCAATTTTCAAGAAAATGTTCAATTCTACACTGGCTTAGTGTTGTTGAATTCTTTTTGCAGTTGATACTAAAGTATACAAATGGATCGTTTTTGGAATTATCGTCAGTCTACATATCAATTGTATTTGATAATAGTTAGAAAATAGACTGGAAACTGGTAGAGAATAATTTTTATAGTAGGCCTCTAGTCTTCCGGAAAATTCTGATTGGTTACTCTTCTTATAAATCAATTTTGAATTGGAATTTCTCAGCAAAAATTTGAAATCTTGAAAATGAGAGAAAAACTGAGGGAATTTTTTCAACTGCAACTTCAATACAAACCTTTAATACTGGAAAAGTTTGCTAATGTCTTCTTATCAAAACATTTTACACCAAACACTGTGTGATCGTTAAAACTTGGCCATCTTTTCATTTTTAAACATTCGTTTACATGTTTTACGTCGCGTTTACATCTATAAACAGATTCTCTTTCAAATTTTCCACTATTCAAGTAGAACAGAATTTGATCATCATATTTTCTAAATGGTATTGTTGATGATAATTCATTAGAGAACGTCCTTGACATTTTGCATAAAATATTGTAAGTGATTGATTCCTCTTCTAGCGAATGAAATTCAAATATTAACGGAATAAATCTTTGATTTTTAAAATATCCTGGAATTTCGAAATTTCTATCAGATTCTATTGAGACTCCATCGGTAAAAGTTGAATTGTTTCGTTCAAAGACAATTCCATTGAGTGTTGTTTCTCCTCCTTCAAATTCAAAATTTTCACCATAGCATATTGAATCTGGGCAAAATTTTAAAGATAAACTTGAATTTGTCATCATTTCTAAATAATCCAATTCTATTATGTTTCCGCAGCGTTTATGAGTAGTTTTCAACGAACAGAATGCAGTATGATTGTTGAAAATTCTTTGATAAACAGTTTTCGTATCAATTTTTAAGAAAAAATAATCTGAAAGTAATTGAAATGTTTGTTTGTTTATTTATTTATTTTTTCTCTTCATCAATCTTACATTCGACGCTTTTCATAAAGTATTTCACCTTTGTCACATACTGTATATATGAATTTAGCGACTGAAAGTGACAAACTCTACTCTCTTCTTTGCAGTACATAAAATAAACTGTATAGTCTAAATCTGGATTGTCGCTGTAGGTGTAGTCTGGTCTAATTTCAACATGAGCTTCGACTCTATACTCGTCAAACCACGATGCTGAGTATTCCTCTAAACAGAATCTTTCAACATCTCTTCTTTTCTCCAGAAGGAGCAAATACCTGTGATTATAATATTTGAAGGTAGTACTAACATAGCCAACGCAGTACTCTCTATTGCAGATTTCATGAACAAATTCCAGTTGTAGTTCGTCTATTATCTTTAACTATTAAGAAGACAAAATAACATGCTAACTATACGATTTGTGGGAGATATTTCCCACCTTTATATCTTGAACAGACTTCTTTAGAATGAGACACAAGAAACAAACGACAACACCTTTGTACTGATGATACATTTACACCTTTCCAAAGATCTTTTGGCTTTTTTTTACAAGCGAATGAAAGATTTTTAAAAAATCGTGCTTAAACGATTAAATAGACGCTCATGTTAAACAAAAAAAAACGCACATTCACCAAACTTTTGTTGAAAGAAAATTGAAACTGGAAAATGTAATTAATTTACTTTTAAAAAGGGGATTGTAATGAATTCCAGTTTATATCTCTCATGCTAAAAAAATAGATGAATTCTATTAGTCTTGAACACTTTAGGCCTAAGATTCATTACATATTCCAATTGTTCCGAAGAACAACAACTTTCTAACTATTAAACAATTTTTCAACATTCTTGCTGTGTTACCCTCCATAGATCATCTACATTTGTACACATGTGTTTACCAACCCTTCCTTTTAGGGTTAAATAGATAGTGACTCGGGACTTTTTGCCTATACTGTATATATTTTGCAGTATTTTAGGTGTAATACATAATTCAGTAATCATAAATTTAAAATTTATATTTGAAAATCTTAACCTTTATAAATAGAATGTATAAAATTTAATTTTTCAACATTCCAGCTGAATTAAATTGTTCATGTTAATTATAAAAAATTCTTGTGTATTAAGTTCATAGACTTTCAACTGCAAATGAAAGGACTTTTGTTATTTTACTATAGAATATTAAAGCACAATCTTCTAAAAAATTGATAAAATACGGACAATTGTTGTAGAGCTTGTTCTCTCCTTCTCTGAGATGATTATTACTCTTCATTTAAATCTAATCTTTGCACTTCTTCTATTGAACATCAGCATTAGTAGTAATTCCTCCATCAACACGCATAAAACTGTGAATATCGCTCTGAATCAAGTTTCCTATTCATCTAGCGAAAATGGTAATAATAGGAAAGAATTGGCATTTGATGGGAGCTTTCATCAATATTCATGCTTTAGGTCTGCTACTAATCCTTTGGTAATTGAATGGTGGATGATAATATTTTCAAACAGCTATTTTATAAGGACAATCAGAATTTTAAATACAAAAGGTCATTCAATGTCAAATATTGTATTTTTGACTAGCATTGAAGATACCAATCCTAATAACTTTAATTCTTTCACACTATGCAATCGGGGTTCAGTTAGATCAATGAAATCCCTAACTGTTGATTGTTTGAATGGACCGCAATATTCAGAATTGACTACTGTTAAATTTGAATGAGCCAATAAGGAATTGGTTATTTGCGAAATCGAAATTTGGACAATGAGAGATATCAATAGGAATAAATTCAATATATTATCATCAGGCAGCAGGCAACAATCTGCAAATGACGGGTGGAGTTTCTCTAAATGGGAGGATCCGTACTGTTCATGGACAAAGGAAATTGTTCCCAGTTGGTGGGCAATAGACTTGGAAATATAGAGTGAAATATACGCAGTTTCATTGGTGAATAGAATCATTGCTATATCCCGTCTAAGCCATTTAAAAATATTAATATCAAACAATCAATTTGTAAATCCTCCCTGGGAACCAGAAATATTATGCAATACAACAGTCGATGCTACTTTGTACATGACTAGACGTTGTCCTAAGTATACAATTGGTCAATACCTGGCCCTATTCAAGCCAACTTCTATACCACATCCGGGAATGAAATTGCGCAATACAGGAGAAAAACACTATTAGTAGAGGTAAAGGGTGTCCTTCTGTCGAAATCTTGTAAAGATCAAGCTATAAAATTAGTTACATTTCATACTTAGTATTTGCTGGATAACATAAATACTTGTCGTCAATAACGTATTTGTCGATTGAGAACAATCCTGAGATTGCCAAGAGTAGCAGACAATATAATATAATTGATATTCTCCAGTTCTTCATCGAGATATTTGTGAATGGCCTACAAACTGCAAAGAATCTGTCCACAGCCATCATCAACAGTATACCTACAGACATCCAGGGAAATATTGTTTGTAAAAATGTAATAACACTGCAAATAATTCTGTTTGTTACAGGTAAAAGACGATTTTGTATATCTGCATGATAGGCCAGAGGCAGAGAGATGGTAGAAGCAAAGAGATCAACCAATGAAAGATATTTCAATAAAAATCCATGTTGATTTGAGTATGTGGATGATTTGTTAAAAACAAGAAAATTAATAATGTTTCCAACTATACCATATGATATAATTAATCCATAAATAAGGGATACAACAATAGATTGTTTTCCATTTTAAAGAATGAACTATACAATTAAAAAAATGGTCAAATGACGTTCTGTTAATAGTAGCATTCATCCTTATGATTCCTGTTATGTAATTTTTATCCCTTTATACAGTATCCAAGAAATTAGCAGAAAATATACACCAAAGTATGCATTTACTGTCTATCAGATATCATAAGACAAATGGTCCAACAAAAAAAAAATCAAATGTATATCTCAAAATTGCCTCATTCTACTCTTCTCTTCTTTATTACAGTTTATTAGTCTGAAATGGAGAAGACAACAAGCTTTTTCAATATTAAAAATACATGTAATAATAATGTATAATATATCAAAAAACAGAAAACACATACACACACACTATCTCATAATTAAACCATCTCAAAATAATTTATTTTGGTGTTTTCACCTGAAAGAAAAAATCAAGAAAAGAAACAAAATCTTCGTATCTTTATTAGAAATTTTAATAGGCTTTATGGAAGGATGATTAGATTCGAAAATCAAATGGCTAGTTCAGATCAAATGTCACGTGGTTTTATTGAACGAATTCCGGACAATTCTAGAACCAGATTTACATTGAATGGTGGACATAAGTTAACAATTGGCCTATCTACGTATCTTTTGGTTTTTAAATTGAATAGTAGCCTGCCAATTCTGTTTCTTTTCGCTTCTCCTTGCCCAACTAGAAAAGGTCTTCTCAATCCCAGATAGATACTAATTAAACTCATCATTAACTGTTGATAAAAACGGGTCACGTGATAGAGACATATCTTAACTTTTATTTTTATAAAATACCACTCAGGCCACGCCACTACCTCTCCATCTCAATTAAAGAAACAAAAGTGTTGTTCGAAAGCCGTAAAACTATATTCAATTTCTATTGTGAACTAATTTGCGTAATGTTAGAGACTTTTCGCCTAATTCCATTTTTTTATTGAAATAATATTTAAACAGGTATTACCCATAACAATATGAGAATTAACTATTTAATAAATGTAAATATTCTAATGAAAAATGTATATAGAAGGTAAATTTCGACATAGAATTAGAATATTTGTTTCTATTTGCTAAATAATAATAAATTATCCTATTCAAACAACGCTTTAATCAAGAATTTGTATTTAAATGTAAAAAGACTCTATTTCTTTTTTATCAGTTTATCTTAAAGCAATTCATCAATCAATTCTAAATGGAATTCTTACAAATTCTACTATTTTTTTATTTCCTTTCAGATATTATCTATTCATTCAACTTTTGTAAATATAATCCAATTGGAATTCACGATGAACACAAATTTCCTAATTCGTCATTCAGTGCTCACGGTACTTACTCTTCACACAAGCCTGAATATGCAAGAATTGAGGAAACAACTGGAATAAATTGGCACACTTTGGATTATACTAATGGTTGGGTTATGGTTAATTTAGGTCGTAATTACCAGAAATATCCATGGAATAACGAAATAAGATTAAATACATTTCTTTAACTAGGTCAGCGCTATGATATTTATGGACTAGACTTATTAGGAGGCTATCATATAGCAGATAAGTATATCTCTCTCTATTTTACATCGACGTTTACTATATCGTACGGAATGGAAAAGAATTCCCTAACGTCACTCAGAACCAATAGCTCGACACACGTAAAAAAATATACCAGTTTTTATATACATTTTTCTCACAATTTTCATAATTATTAAAGGTATTTGACGGGCTTTTGGACTCAGAGTATAATACTACTAAAAGAATATATTTTCCTAGTAAAATTACAACTCAATTCTTCAAATTCCATCCAAAAGGTGGATTTTATGGAGCTGTTAATATTGAACTTTATGGATGTAGTAAGTTACTTTATCTAATTAATTTAATTCATTGATCATTACTTTTTTCATTCCAATTTATAACAATTTCAAGATTTTACAGTCACATCAATCCTAATACAATAGTAGAAATTTTAGAACACAGTTGACTAATCATCGTAAAATAACTCGCAAAAGTACAATTTACTCATATCAATAGATTTTTCAACAAATATATGAATGTCAAGGACATCCGTTATACTTGTATCGAGATCTTTGCAGTGGAAATAATACAACAGAAATGAAGTCTTATCAATAAATTTTTCCAGTAGGCATTCTTTCATTTTCTCATTACCAGTTTTCTCCATCAAATAAGTTGTGTATACATCGAAATTGGCAGTCAATTGATGGGTTTTCTTGAAAGCTAGTACAAGATTGGATGTATTTAGCAATGCTTGTTTTCGATTCATCAATTTATAGTTAAATGTTGTTCTCTGAGATTTGATGGCGATACACGTGTTCAACAATCCATCGGAAATATCATAATCTTTTTCAATGGCGCAATTTTTCGAATGTAGATTTCTTCCCTCTGCAAAACGTTTCTCAGTTTGCAAATTTTTCGCCATTTTTAAATATAATGTATACAAACCTTTATCTGATATTTGAACCAGATTTGAGATATCCTCCATGGAGTTTTTTAACAGAATCTGCCTTATGTCTAAGGGTGTTGATGATGGTATTCTTATCAGAATGTTCTGACCATAGGCTCTACCTGAACCAAATTGTATCTCATTATTGGACCATGAAAGCCAAAAATGGTTCCATTTATTACAGTTGACTAGGGATGAATATGACCCAAATTCGAACATTTCTCCAGCAACATGTACAGAGGAGCTTTCTATATTATTCAAAACAGTGTCAAGTCTTAATTCAACTTGCTTTGTTGTTTCATTCTTAAAGCTGATAACTAGAGATGAGCAATCCTTCGAATTTCCCATACTATTACCTTTGACCTTGAACTTAACAGACTTGGCATAACTGTGAAGATGAGGAGGTAGTTGATAGACAACATCATTGATAAATTGTATATTATAAATATTCCCATCCATCTCTAAAAATGAAAACTGGTAGAAATAGATAAAAAACAGAATTGAAATCAAACTTTTAGCAAAAACTTTAAAAAATTTAAATCCAATGTCAATAGTTGTATACATTTCTTTAATAATAGCTTTAACTGAATATTCAATAGTTGGTCTATGAGTATAGTTGAAGCAATGATAATAGTTATCTTCCGGAAGATTGTCCAACGTGTCGATAAAACCTGAACTCCATTCAATTTCCATCTTCTTGACAAAATGAGGATAATTAAACCTAAAATTGGCACATTGCCAAAGCTTAAATTAATAACATTATATTTGATTTATGTCTTGAGGTAAGACAATAACATAGAATTTATATACTGTATATATTACCTGTTGCTATAACAATACTGGACTGGTTGAACAGGAAACGCAAATGTAATCATAATATATTGATTAAGACAATCCTGCGTACCAACACGATTATTTGGTCCACAATTTGATGCCCAATCATGACTAAAAACTCTATCAATTGCTCTGGTACATTCATAGTTAATATGAGTATTAGACTGTTCACATGTGGCTCCTAGTTCAAGACCAGCTATATTGATTAGATGATCTTCAACAGTATTTGTTATATCTGAATATGAATATGTATTGTCAATAAAATTTAAAAATTGATAAGTACTCAACCTTCATCATAACTGTATGCAAAAATTGTATTATAACCAATATTAATGGCTGCTGGATTCCAACTTTTAGCTTTAAATTTGATGATGTTAATATTGAGACCGACTCCCTCCTCTAATAGGATACAATCTGTATCAATATTTATATGATAGGTCTTTGAATAAGAATCGATATTAATTTCGATTGCTGTCAGCTGGAATTCTTCTGAAACAATTCGTTGAATAAAGCAAATTTCAGCAATATTGTATTGTTTTTTAAATGTTATATCAATCCATTTCTGTTGGCAAGCATTAATGGGACAACTTGGGGCCCAGTCATCAATGTTCACCCATTCCGGTTCTAAAACATTTTCGCATCTATAATTAAATGATGCTAATGGTGTATGTTCATCAGAAGCCTGACACGTTGCGCCATTCACCTTCGAAGCAACATTTATAAGCTTCCGGTCTTGAATAAAAAGATAAAGAATAAAATCCCATTTGTAAGAAGTATCTGCAATACCTACCTTGTTTTAAGCCTACAATCAACCTGCAAAATATTATATATACATATGCTTTTATACTGATGGAACTCAATTTCATGTTGAAAGTCGAAATACAGTTTTGTCTGACAAAGGACTCCACATTAAATTACACGTATATATATATATATATATACAGTATATCATTGCCGCCGGTTTATGAACAAATGTTCATTTTAATAACAATACATCAAAATAGTTAATTATTTAATGTCACGTGATATAAATGTAAAATTGAAACTATGACTTATGTGGTGAGTCAAACTTTGAATTTTTTAATTGAATACCATTTGTTGAAGCCTATGAATAATAAAAGAGAACCTTTTTACTGCATATGCTTTAAATTTTTCATTACGTAATATTAAACTTTGCAAAAATTTAACAATTAATAAATTTAATCAAAAATTATCAATTATTATTAAATTAGTAGGCTTATTTGGTGGTTTGGTGTACAGCTAGGAATCTTATCGCGGAAGGCTTATCGTCTCATGTATGAAAGTTAAATACGAAGGATGACGCTGTTTCGATTTTGAATATTCAATTAATTTTTTAAAAATCGATATTGTAATGAATCTCTTATAAACAATCTAATAAATTAACTTTTGAACATTTGTTAACAGTTCTAGTACTTGAATTGGAGAAGATTAGAAGATTAAAGATGAAAAGCATGCTCTTCTCTATCATTTTACTAGTTTATTGATTGATAACATGTACTGTTTATATTCGATTACGTCACGCTTTCTCCCTCTGAGAACCTTGATATTCAATTTCCGTTAGCGACAGTCAAGCTAGTTTGTGTAACTAGTAGAGTAATCTTTAACCTTCACTTTAACCTTGAAAATTTAAACACAACAAAAAGGTAACTTGCAATTTATTTAAATTACTCAGCCATAGTGTTTGTTTTAAAGCATTTAATGATTAGGAGATTAATAGAATATTTCTTGTTTTAGCTATAGTATTTTAGCAGAGATGAGTTGCAGAACAGCCGAAATTTATCTTTGATCTTTTCTTCCATCAAAACAGACTTAAAATCTCAGTAACATGATCTCCGTACTTCCATAGTACATCTCTCAAGCTATTTATTTTAAGAGGCGTAGATTATCCCCAACTGTTGCTATCAACATTGAACAATGGAATTAATGACTAATTAAAAGATAAAAGAAAGCAAATGTTGATTATGGAAATATTAATAATAATAATAATAAGTTTCTAAAGCACTTATTGACTAATTAATTATTCAAGGTGAGCTCTATATAAGAGAGAGATATTAGTTCCAGTTGTAGAATCTGTTAATCATGTTAAAAGTACTCCTACTGCTGATCGAAGTTATATATTCCACTGAAATTACTACACTAACAACCACAAAAGGCTATATTGAAAAGTCGTGTTAGCATCATTTTTTGTCGTTGAACAATTCCAGGCGTCTCTTTTTGATTTAATGCTAAAAGTTTTTTTACAGTATGTTCCACCTACACCAAACACTTTAACCAGAGTTATTCTTATAAGAAAGTCAATTTAGTACTCGACACAGAAGACTTTGATGAATGCCTTCATAGTTGTAACTCTCAAAGTATTTGCACAAGCTTTGAATTCAACAAACTGACTGGAAAATGCGTTAAAAATGTATTTGGATCCCAAGGAAAGAGTCTGCAAAAAGCTGAAGGTTTTACCTATTATTCAAAAATAATTAATGCAGGTAACATCTTCACAAACGTAACACCAAAAGAATGGTGGATTTCAATTTTTCAATTATCTCCTTTAGATTGTGATAACTGGTTGAAAAGTGACGGTAAAATAATTGACACTTGTGGATGTGGAATAGAATCTGTGAGTGCTGCTGATGAGGAAAGGTGTAAACAACTTTGTGAACAGAATAGCCAATGCACAGCTGTAAATTATTTCTCTAGTCAATCAATAAACTGTCATCTTCGGAGGAGTGTCTGTCGATGCATCTTTGTCAGTCTATAGTCAAGGACATATAATACATAGACCGCTTTGTCTGAGTAAGTTCAAATTGATTGTCTATCCTTTTAGACTAAAATTACAAATTGAATTTCCTTTATTTTTTACAGCCATGTTTTACTTGTCCATAAGTAATATTTGCCACTCTAACACATCCTCAATTAACCATTATGCCACATCTCTTGGTGATACGAACACTCAATGTGCGGACAACGCTAAAAGTGTTCCATTATTTTCAAAGATAATATTAACAGCCTCTGACAAGTTTATTAAAAAAACCGAAATTGAAATCGCCATTTTTACGAAGGGAAATAATGAAGATTGTGAGAATACCATTGTTTCTCTTAAACAGAAACCACACGAGAAGCTATGCTCGATTACTGAAGTTTTGAGTAATTTGTGTAAATTCTTGTGTTCTGGTAGCAATTTTGAAACAATTATTATTACTAACTTGACACCAAATATAAAATATTGTGAAATTGAAGTGTCATCTGAAGGTAAACTGGTAAATGTCTGTATTTAAGATAGATAGATAGATAGAGAGAGAGAGAGAGAAGAGAGAGGATGGCTATCTCTGTTATTATGGTAATATGAATTCAGCATTGAAATAGAAATAAAAATTAAAAGCTTGCAAAAGAAGTACATTGCAGTTTTTGTCTTTTCAGCATTTAATTTATCCTTCGTCGTATCATTCAATTCCCTCGCGTTCACCATTTTTTAGAATCCTTTCCCTTAGATGATCATTTTCAAATCCAATTATGGACGCGGTCTATTTAGCAATTTGTTACATTCATTTATAATCGATTAATGATATTTAGTTATGTAAAGTTTTCAAAATGGCGTCTATCACCACCAGTGACGACATTACTATTCTCTTGATAAGGAATTAAGAGAGAAGAAGGGATAAATGTCGGGTAAGAACAAAAAAAAGTATTGCTCCCACTGGGGGTCGAACCCAGGACATTCGCGTTATTAGCACGACGCTCTAACCAACTGAGCTATGGAAGCTTCTATAAAATAATATCAATTTAACTAGCAATTCAAAGCAAATCATCAAATATTTTATTATTTTGATAATTAGATAAATTCTCTTGAAATTTTATTCAATGTTAGATCTTGATGAACTGAACCACTGTACAAAAATTGAGCCAATCGGCCAAGCAATTCAGGAGCTATGAAGGTTTGAAGTTGACGGTGGTTTGTGTCAAGCTGCCTCTCACTAACATTCTAAAACCTACATTCTACGTTAATTAGAGGGCAACCTATTCAAGTAACTGGAGGTATAGCAATTAATTAATAACTATGCATAAACAGGTATCACAGGAAGAGCTAGATTGGATTCTTTGTTCCTTCCTATGTACAAACCCTGGGATATCTGTACACTTCAAAGTAGTGGCGCTTCTCCAACTGCAAAGTGGAGATTGATGATGATTTTGATGATCTGAAAAGTACAAACAACATTAAATTAAGGAATATAACTGACGAGGAAAGAAGTCAAACTTGTATTGATATCAGTAGCAATTTTGATTTTAGTCTCAGAATTTCTTCGCCTTCTGTCGATTCCAATTTCAAAAATGTTAGAATATTAATAAAAGGTAAAAATCTGCTGTTATATTGATGTTAGAGGTGAAATACCAAAATTGTGGTGTTACTGCCTATATTCAAATTGATTTACAAATTGAACCAGTTTTTAATGATCGTCATTACAGCTGCTTGCTGATTGGTGGGGTTAATAGTCAGATGTGCCAGTATTCGTGAAATGGCGGAGAAGGCTACTGCCGAGCTGTCTATATTAAAGGTTATGGATCAGATGAAGACAATATATCTTCATAGTTTGTACATTAATAGTTTACAAATTAGCATTAATTTTCATCTTTCTTTTTCCTTTTGTCATGCATTCTTTACATATTACATTATCAGCAATCAATTGACAATAATCTTTAGATATGTCGATCAGTTTATCAGTTGATCCCGAGTTCGGTGACACCACGTAGTTTCCTTGTATCAGTTTTCCTTTTTGAGATTATTTTAGGCCTGGAATATGTGTTTGTAGAATTGTAGAGTTATTGACATCCAATAAAAATTGATTAACTATCACTGCCATATTCATTTTTTTTTTACATTCATGACTGAATTATTCGTTCAATTGAACAATGACAACTAAATTTTTCATTGCTAACAAGCTAAAAGAGAGAAAGAGAGAGAATGTTAAAAAATTGAAAAGTTTTTCTAAGCAGCAATTGAACCATACATTCCAGATAGGATGCAAAGTTCTATTTTTCTATGAATCCTCAATTTTATAGTTACTGATGCAACTGTAAAAATGAGATCATTCCTCATCTGATAGCAGAAATCTACTGACTGATAGGAAAAGTTCTGACATCTTTACCAATTATCTCCATTTTCTCTTCAGCATAAGAAAGAGTAGCGTGAAATAGAAATTGAGCATTTTCGCATATTTCCGCTGATAAGATAAGTTATTGAAGCAGTATTTTCCAACTTGGTTTTATTGCTTTAAAAGAGAAAACAATGATGATGACTTTAGTACAAATCTATAAAAAAGACCATCAAGTTACAATTCACAGCAATTTTTAAGTTTATTTACTTTTGCATAACAAATGTCGTGTTCTATGGGAAAACTTTCATTATGTTCTTCTATAAAAGTCTTTAGCATTCCAATAACAGTTGTATTATGATTGAAAACGGCTCATTTTTTGGTATTTTATCCTAACCTAATCTCCCAATCCCTGTCAAAACTAGCATGCTAGAAAACTCTTGAAAATCACAATTACAAAGGCACCTAAGGATTAATTATGTTAATAGTAAAACAACGTTTTCTCTATATTCCTTTGCTGCTTATTTCTCTTTCTATCTTTTACAGACCATTGTTGGTTTCCAACTTGTCAGACTCTATTTACAGCTTCTCTACTTTCAGTTTATGTATCGCAGACCATAGCTATTTTAACACTATACCAGTCTAAGACGTATAAAAGCAACTGAAGAGCTACAAGTGCTCTGAATATTTGTGCATTTTTGCTGTCATTCTCTTCCTTGATGGTTTATTTTCATTTGTTTGTTTTATCTACAAACTCGTATTATTGTTTCACTGATCATTTATCTCTTTTGCGGGTGAGTTTTGTCCAAGGTTTGTATTTTCTTGTAGGAATTCAGTAAAATATATCACAGACGTAGAATCTATAGGAAGAAACCTAATTTAAATGATAAAATACTTGTAAATGTTTTGTGTCGAGGATAGATGCTATTGATTCTGATTCTGGATTAAAAGGAAGGATGCTTTTTAAGATTGAACAATATGAAAACTTGAGTATATTTGGTGTGAATGAAAATTATATATACAAATTATATTATAAGAGCTAAACTGTGAGCTGTAAGATTCATTTTGATTGGCTTTTCTTTGAAGGGTGAAGGGTTTGCAATTTTTCAATGGTTTTAAAGTAATTGGTGTAATTGATTAATCATTTTGAATTTTCAAATCGTAATTTGAAATCGGCAACTATATAACACAAGTTGACAAAATGTTAATGAAATAAATGAGAAAATTGTTTGCTTGTTTAAATAAATCCGAAGAGACACTTACAGTATTTTTTATAAAAAATTTTTGTATCGTCAGCAATAAAGGCGGTAGGACTACCATCATTCATTTCGTATTTAAGTGAACACTTTGATTTGTTCTTGTAAAGTTCAAATCCTCTATAGACAAATATTGATACAATGAAGAAGAGAGAGAGAAAAAACAAACAAGCGCGCAATTTGTGATTATATTACAAATATTCCTACAAATTTCAATATTGAAAGGATAATCGTCAATTGATTTTAATTGTAAAATACTCATTAAAGTTGTTGTAAAATTATCCATTTGAAAATAAATATTATCTGTAAAATGTTTTCAAGTTTAAATTGAGTTCTATGTATTTAGACATACCTTTATGCACTGAAAATACCTTCTAATGTTCTATTTCCAATTGCTATTTCCTTTTCAAAATAACTAACATTAGTGTTATTTATAAATGTTGACCCTTGGTCTTTTCTCTTGTTCTTTAAGTTGCATTTTCGATTAAGTATAAAATAATTAAATGACCTTGAAAAATAATAAATCCAATATTTAAATATGTATTACAGCTTTTCAAAAAATCTTACTTGCCTTCATTCGATATATCGCATGCCATCTTACATGCATCGACACCAAAATCATTGTAAATTACACTTAGAATATTATGATTTTTCATCTTTACATTCTCCATTTTTAATATGAAAAAGCTTTAAAAGACATTTTTATACTAAATAAAGAAATATAACTGATAAAAACTCACTATTATTTTCAGATAAACTTGTTTGTAATACAATGAGAATAATACCAAACAGCAGCATCTTTGCCAACATACCTGGAATTTTAAATTGCAAATGTACAAATATTACAAAACAACTAACACACACTGTTTTACAACAACAAAAACCAGTGTTCCCTCAGAATTTGCTAGAGAACATGTCCTTCTACCATTTACAAATATATGATTAAGGATAGATATAAAAGTGATTATTTAATGATTGAAAAATGCCAATTAAAATTAATTCAAGTTGTCTGCTAAAACCTTGTCTTTAGATGTATGTCTATGAGAAAATTTGTAATGCATTAAAATCTTCATCAAATTATTTGGAATGCATTGAACTGAGATGTAATGTCTCACAAGAATGTGGTGGTATATAGCAATTATAATGGATTCATAACTTGGAATTTAAACAAAGATTCTCTTCATCATAATAAATTGAAAGGAATTCGCAAAAGACAACAATTTATTCTCAATAAAACCTTTATCAATAAGCATTTCTGAATATGAATTTAATGATTTTGAAGAGTTTCTTTTATCTATTATACAAAGAATGGTTGTAAATTTCAAACAGCTGCTGCCAGGTCAATCAGAATGAAAATCAGCAATGAGACTGAAGAACCAAAACTAGAAGTTGCAAGGCTTATCGAGTTACTACAATTAGGTATAGAAGATGATGTTGGCAAAAAACACCAACAGTTCCAACAAGTTCTTGACTACATAACAAGACACTTTAACAAGGCATAGCAAGCATATCAACTTGGCTAATGAATTAGGAATTGACTCAAGTATGTCAACACATCAACATTTATTTTCATCATGGCTAAAAACTCCAACCAAAATGCTGATTAACATTGCATTTCCAACAATAATTATTATTTGAACTTCATTCATATTATGGCTCGCATATAAAAGAAAATGCAGCAAACTTACTAGGAAAAGACTTTGGAAATACTTAGAAAGAAAGCCCAACCAACAGCTCCAGGTATACAACAAGAGGAATTACAGATCCCAACATTTTATACTATTTTATAGGAATTATAATGGTGCAACTTTAGAAAGACTTTTATTTCGTAGAGTTAACTTTAAAAGGAAATGTGTCAAAGTTGTTTTTCTTAACTATTAAAGACTACATAAAGAATTGCGAAATTTTGTAAGCAATTAAGAGCACCAAGCGATAAATATTTGTTGTCAAAACACCTCACCCTACCCTACCAATACAAAGAATTGCTATGGAATGAATGTATATATTATATACATATTTATCTGAATACAATAAAGTCTGTTATTATGGTGTTACAGTAATTATTTACTTATTAAATGAAACTGATGTTGACAAGGTTAAAATAGAAAACTAACAAACAAACAGAGGATTCAGAAATCAGACATAAAAAAAAATCATTTTTTGTATGTTTTGCTATCCAACATTTCATTAGTTAAACAAGAAATATTTTGGAGTTTTAATTCAACCAATATAACTTTTAGCTGTTCAAGATCTTTGGAAATATCCGACGAAAAGATAAACTCTTCCAAACGATCTATTCTATTATTTAGCTCTAAAAATTTATAGTTAATTAGGATGATTGATTGATTGATTGCCTTTTATAAAACAAACCTGTAAATTTATTAACATGTTCACTCTTGAGATTTTCTTTAGCGCCAATATCCTTAGAGAACATTTTGCAGATAGATTTCGTGATGTATTCGAACACTTTGTGATCTTCTGCCAACATTGTTGGATCAAGCTTTACAATAGCTAAAAATTCATTTAAAGTAGTAATAAAGATATTCAATACAAGATAAATCATGATAGATGCGTATGATATAATGTATATTTTGGCGGTAAAACCACCATTTTCAGACAGTATTTCAAAGTCTAAATGACCAAAAATTGTTATCAACAGTGAATAGCACGTGTATTTAAAACTTTTATAGCTTTCTGTAAATTTTCCAAGGCTAATGTAGCCCCAACAAGCGTAGCCAATCAGAACAATACAACAGCAAAATCCTAATGATATTAATTCACCACTTGCTTTCTTAATTGAACTTACAAGGACTGATATTGTTCTTGATATTTTCAATAAACTTAACACATAGAGTTGGCCAAAAAATCCGCAAAATGCAATAAATATTATAAAGAATTCATTGACAGTAAAAAATAACGATAGGTCAATGTATTCGTGTCTGAAATTCATAACGTATTCTACAGCTTTCACTCCAATTATTGTCCTCCAGATGTATAATACAACTGCCCAAATGAAGCATACCAACGAAAGGATTAACAGTAAATTAGGCATCTTTGCGTACTTTTTATAATGATAAATGCTTTGAATGACTAAGGATAGCCATGTTAGAACTGACAAACCTTCAAACACAAGTCTAACTAGACCACCGGCTCCTGTATATCTATACAAGTTTAAAGAATCACTTCTAACTGTTGTTATTATGCCGCCAAAAGGTTTGAATTCAAATGACCAAACAGCCTGAGAAACTGTTTCCTGATTCAATATAGTTACTTCCAATTGAATGTGACGCGTTTGACGGTCTAGCCAACCGAAATTTTTCAATTCAAATATAATATTCAAAGCTTTGTCAGCCATTTGTCCTAATGAAATTAAATAGCCTCTCTCCTGTACTGAGTATAAGAAAGCGCTGTGCGTTGTATTTACATTGAAACGATCCCAATTGACAGAAAAATTCCCAGTACTACTAGCAGAATTTGAATAGTATCCAAAACATTTGTAGCTTTTCAATAGTATTTTCATACTTGCAATAGTTTCGCATTGGTGTTTTTTAACTCTCTTCTGAAAGAGTCTGACTGATGAAAATCTCATATGATTCAATTCAGCCGTATACTTTAAATCGTACGTAGATAGATTCTTATTATTATAATGGGTTTTTGGATAGAGTTGGGGAATTGCGTTCTTTTCCATCCAATTCCAAAATTGTTCATAGTTCTTTACCACATGGATTTTTGATATGACATTCGCTATTGATCTATTCTGATAATAAATCATTGGATTACGATTGCTATAGCAGATAAACGTAATAAAGATTAAAAAGATTGCGTGGAGGAGAATATCTCTTATCATATTAAACATCTTCCCTTCCAATTGTCTCTCTTCCTTTGCCTTATCATATTTGTCTGCCGCCTTCTTTAAAAGTTCTTGAATATTCAATTCTGTTATAAAAAAATAAAATTAATGTCGTCTATTATCTAATCTATTCAGTTAATTCAATGTTCTCTTGCCTTTTGGAATGTGAGACAGATTGTTCGTTTCCAACTTTCTCATGTCTCCAATATCGTTTTCATACTGAGTTAGGGCAGCATCTTTCTTAAACAAAAACGTCAGCAGAAATACAACAAATATTACTTTGATTGGTTGAACTAAAACGATGCTTTGTAAGAATGATAAAAGGAACGATATCAACCATTGTAGTGATTTCTCCTGTCCCCATTGTATAGAATATAAAATTGTAAAAAATGCCGCTACGATTGTCGTTAAAATTGCCACAATCCATCCCAAAGGAACGGTATACTTTTTCCATTTTTTCGAACTAAAGAGTACTGTAATCAGAACCAGTCCAGGAAATACAACAACGCTACTCGCCAAACCAACATATAATTCATAGACAGTAAAAGTAACCGGACCGAATGACAATCCAACGTGACCTTTAGCCTCTCCAGAATTTTTGTAAAACATACAACTGGCAATCATTGACAAAAATAGAGCAACAAAGCAAACTGTTAATCTTTGAAATCTTGTAAATTGAGATTTAGATCTTTTCGCTCCAACCGACACCCATAAATGATCATTTGTTAATCTTTGCCTTAAATTTCTCTTAAATAATTCATCTACATTCATTATTTCCTCGTTTCTTCTCGCAATGAGAACTCTTTCTACTTGACAATCGGCGTGTATAGGCGACAACCATTGATCGCAATCAAAATTATACCAAGCATTTGCAACTTTATCAATGATGATTATCCTTGATAAGAACCAAGGATCGTACTCTTTCGCTGAATTGTTATCTTTCTCAAGGGAGACTTTAATACAGATGATTGATCCAATAGCACTATTTGTTGTCATAATAAATGATCTTACACTTCCCGCGTTAAAGGAGACCACTTCCTGCGAAATTAATATCCTATTTCCGGTAATACTTTGACTCCCATAGCATGTTAAAGCCACTTTGGACTTGGTACCACCTTTCCTCTGATTTCCGGTGTAGACGTGTACTTCGTATTCATTTGTATCCTTTTTATAATTGTCCAATAATGGTAAAGGAGTCCAACGTAGCTTATCTCTTTTATCCAATCTTCTTACTAGTAACGCAAGAGGAATGAACAGAACAAACAACGAACATATTGTTCCAAAGACAGCTGCATTATTTGCCAATTTATTTGTAAAGTCGTTGAATATTGTATAAAAATCTATAAGATTTGGCGCCAATTCTAATTCGGCACCCAAACTCCCAAACAGATTGCTTGTAAATTTTGTTTTCGACGCTGTCGTCTCTTCGTTGACTTTACACGAATCGCTTTCTTGCCAAACATTCCCGTTCCACAATTTACACAATGGATAAGACATTTGAATACTATAATTGAGTATTTGCTTTGAGCAGTTGGAACACGAAACAACGGCAAAAACTGTTTGATTTACTTCCGGTCTAAGCATAATTGTTCTTCTATACTCGTTGCAATCTTCTTCTTGATCAAAATTAAATGAACACGTCTTATTCAAATTTGGTAAGATATATGACGCATTATTCATTTCTCTATTTGGTTTTAGATTATAACCAATGAGCACTGAGATTGCATCATCGCTATTTAAATTAAACGTCAGTATTAGAGCGTTCCTTGTCGCATTTAGAGTATGAATGGCTGACTGATTTGTTGTGTTTACGTATTGAAAACCTTTATAAGGATTCTTCATATTTAAACTAAGAGAGTAATTAGTTTGGGGAATATGGATACTTCTCTTCTTTCTTCTCTCTTCAATCTTTAATATTGAATTACAAGGCCGAATTTGGAATTCGGCAATGGATGACGTAACATTCAAAGCAGATTTATCCCACATATAAGGATTAATACCTGATATTAATAATGTTCTTGTAATACAAGAATGATTGCCATTTTCAAAGGAATTTAATTTTACTGATCCAAATTTTGACGTATCGCTATCATTGTATTTAATATTCATTGAAGATATTTTCTCAATAGTGATGCTCATTTTTTCAAATTTAACATTTAAAGCTTGCTCATCCACTCTCTGTTCTAATAGCAATTCATCACTGACATTATGAATGATCTTGACAACATTTGTCATCACATTTCTCAGTTTGTCATTACTACTATTATTGAAAGTTGTTTTTGTTAGATTTGTTGCAATTTTCGAATCATCATCATCATCATTTGAGATTATATCGCAAAAGAATAAAGTTGATGATGAATTATTAACATTCATAAGGCTAATGATCTCCTCTTTATCTTGTACATCTTCCTTATAACTATCAGCTGCAGTAGTTGTTAGAATGGATGTTTCTAGTAGGCCTAAACAAAAAAGAAAAAGAATGAAGAAGAAGAAGAAGAAGAAGAAGAAGAGGATATCTCAATGATTATTCATACTTATTGATATATCCTGTTTGATTCTTTTAGAAAGTTTGTTTCTATTTAATACAGTATTTAACTTTCCAATATGATTAGCAACATTTATCTATAAAAGTAAAGAAAAAAAAAAGAGATTTTCGTACTAGTTGCAAGAGGTTAATTGAGTTTGAAGAATTGAACCTGCGAATTGATATCCACTTCCTTTGGTTTGTATACAAGAGTATTTACAAGTCCATTATTCTGTTGAAGCTCGTCAATTGATTTATAAGGAATTTTTAAAGTAAAATCAATCATATGTTTTCTTGCCTTAATGAACGATAAAAGAGAACTTTGTTAGACGCTTTTTTACGTATAAATACAATAATAATTCCATACTTTCACTCTTCTCATCCTCTTTTTGCAATTATCCTCGTCTTGTTCTATTTTAGAGAAATTATTTACTACTTCTAATGATCTATTAAGATTTGCATTGAGAATTGATGATACTGAATAGATTGTCGAAGATACTTGACTAACGTTGCCAGCGTTCAACTGCAATTTTAAATTATCATTCGATACAATATCCAAGGTCAAGTCTAATAGTTTATTTTCAGGGATAGGAGGCGGTTGGACATGAACATCAAATATATATTCATATTGATCACCAATCGAATCAATTACGCTTATGACCGTTTCAGTAATTCCATTTTTTGGATTACCAACTGGCAACATCAAGTGTACAGCTTCCTGATTATATGAAAAGTAGAGTAAGAAACTCTGTTTTCTTCCCTGAGGTCTTGCCCTATACTCGTATTTTAAACCTGACGAATTTTTTAATTTTTTAAATTCCTGCCAACCTCGACAGCTTATTTCAAAATTGGTTATTGACGCAAAACCAGTTCTAGGTTGGCAATTGCAATTACCACCGAACGGTGGTCTATTCATAAGAAATGTTTCATTTACTGATCCATAGTCGTTATTGTTAATTTCCATCATTCTTCCTTCAACAATTAAATTATACAGAGTACCAGGAAGAAGAGTACTACCTTTAATTTCAATCTCATCACGTGATGTGTTTCCAGTGGTTATATCACTAAGATTATTAATGAAAGACCACGATTCATTGGCATTAATCATTATTTTCCAATTATAAATCATTTTCCAATACAAACTTGTGCATTTTGACAAACAAGTTACTTTATAAATAATAGAAGAAGAGAGTCTTTTCTTCCAAAAACAATTCTTTTTACATCTGTTTATAGGGCCATATATTAAAAACAACAACAACAACAACAATAGTATAATGATAGATATACCTCATTTTAAGTGTTGGTCTTTTGAATGGTTGTAAATAGAACATTTGCTCATAAGTCGCTTCTCTCTTTTCAATATTCGACAGAATTTTAACGCTAATAATATATGTTGTATTTGGTATCATGTAATAAGTATTTAAAGTCAACTTTCCATTTCCACCATTTTCAATAAATCCAGGACCATTTCCAAAGCATCCTCCATTTTCTTGAAATTCATTCAAAGTAGGAGGTACATTTAAAAAATCTACTCCTATATGTTTGTCATTCGTTGGTAACTTTTCGCCGATTTTCCTACAATACCACTTGAAATAGGTATCCTTCAATTTTTCATTAGGATCATTATCCGGATCGAAACTGAAGAATTCAGCATTAAATGTCTTATTCGTAAGAAATTCGGCAGTTGTCCAATTGTTATTGTCAATGTTTACAATTAGAGGACTGGGTATTATTTCTAAATAATATTTATAAGTATTATTGGCAAATGGCTGATTGAACATTTGTAAAAAATATTGAATTTCGTAAATTCCGTAAGACAATTGTCTTTCTCTTAAATTCAATGTTTTATTATTTGACGTAAATTCTAAAGAATTGGTATCCATTTTGAAAATTTTCCATTCGTATAGTATTCTATTTGTTTTCATACAATCCCAACTTATGTTAACTGGTATTTCAACTGGACTACTCTTTATAACCTTGAATGGTCTATTTTGAAAAGTATAGCCAATTGGTACAGACGCATTTGGACTATAACAATACCAATCTGCGACTGTTGTTGTAAAATTTCTCTCATCTTTAGTTATATGATTAAATCCTTTGACTTTAATATTATAATATCCTATCTCTTCGTATAGATAATCTATTACAATTGTTGTTTGATCATAGGCAATTTCAGTAAAGTTTATCGACTCGCCGAAAGCGTATTCCCGACAGATGTCGTTAACGCCAAATGCCATTTTCGTTGAATATTTATCATCGCCAAAATCAAAGATAAAACACGAATTAGTTGCCATTCTGCCAATTTTTGCAATTACAGTTGTTACATTTGTTAATAGGACGCTTTCATTAGCCGTTAATTGTTCTATTGTTACAGCGTCTAATATAATTTCTGACAAACTCTGTAGGTTTTTAACAGACAATAAATTACTACAAATTACATTTGTAGTTAAATTGCCAATTGAATTTCTTGAAAAATAATACTGATATACAAATGAAATTTTTGGTGGCCAATTTGAGATAAATTCATGAGTTGATTCGCCATTGCTAAATTCAAATATACAATAGATATCCTTAAGGATTTTCTGAGTAGATTCAGAATAGAGTTCGTAGGTAATAATTCCAGGTGTCCACAAAACGGAATTGTTTGCTTTTAGGCCAATATTTTCAATTCTATTCTGCACAACTATCTTAATTGTTTGCTCTTCTCTACTTGGATTATTTTCCCCAACTACAATTATTGAATAATTTCCAATTTGGTAAAATAATAGATTAACCAGTAATGGTTGATCGCTGGCGAATATTTTTGGATGATTTTCCAATAGAACTGATGATAAATGATGTATTTTATATATCACTGACGAACCAGCTTCAACAGTAATCTTTAAAGATACATTTTCCATTATTTCGTAAGCCGGTTTTGCGATTTTAACTGATAAATTCTTAATTTTCTCAAATACCAATAAATTTAGTGAATTTTCAAATTTACTAATCAAATTCTTACATGATATTTTAACTGAAATATTTTTACCAACATCACTTTTTTCGTATTTGTGACTTTGAATGATTGACGGTTGTTTACTCACACGAAATTTATGAATTATATTTTCATTTGTTGGTTGAAAGATGCAAGAAACATTTGTTGGAGATTGTCTATGTTGATTAATTCTCATTGAAAAGTTTACTGGCTGTTCATCTAAACAACTAATGTTTGGCCCATTGATAGCAAGATCAAAAATAGGTACTTGAACAATGATTGTTGAAGGTAACGCTGTCGCTGTTAATTCATTAACGCTATTTCTTACTAAAACACTTGCATTGAAATTTCCAGCTTTCTCGTATTTGTGGATCCAATAGTTACTCTTATAAACTGTATCTATCAGTTTACTATCAGACTGGCCATCTCCATAATCAACAACTGCTAGAATATTAACTCCAGTTGAGAGGGAAAGTGTAAAATTCAACGATTCATTAACTTTGATGATATTGTTGTTGACTGAAAAATAAAGTCCAGTTATTTCCTCTTCGAGTGAAATGTTTTTTTGAACAGAATGATTAGAAACATTATTAGAGCAGTTTGCTACTAATGTTAAATGTCTCCTTTCCCTTTTATTAAACATTCTACTATATTCGTATAATACAGATGTTCCTTTTGTTAAATCAACGTTACGAAGCAACGTTTCATTTCCATCTCCCATTTCCAATAAACACGATACATTTGTTGGTTTGAATCCATTTTCAATCGTCATCTCCACAATTGTTAAATTAACTTTTCTAGGCTTTTCATACCGAATTATTAAATCAATTTTCTTTATTTTATGTTGAATAATTACACTTTCAACAGTTTCACTCGAACAATTGAAAAATTTATTTCTAGCCGTAGCCATTGCTTTATATTCACCAATCATCGAGTAGGAATAATACACATAAAACGGTTCTAGATTTGCCATTAATAGAAAATTCTTCAAAATTTTAGTACTACCATCTCCGAAAGAAATTTCATATTCAACATCGCTTCCATTTTTTAACGTTAATTCTAAAGAGATATTTTCAAAGGATGACCAATATCTATCCTGAAATTTCATATTTAAACCAATGACGTTCTGTTGCAGTTTAATTATCCGAGTACTCGTGATAATAGATATTGAATTGTTACAGGTTATTATTGCCTTTGATCTAAATTCATCGTTTAAATAGTTGTAATCAATAATTAACGGTTTAGACAAAGTAAGAATATCAGTTTTAGATATGATGAAATTTTCACCAGTTTCAACAATACACGTCATCAGTATACTCTTTGTTTCATTGTTTATTACATACTTGTAGTTTGCGTAGAAGAAAACTTGTACAGGAGGTTCATTCGGAGTATATTCGGTGTATATAGAAACGTGGTTCTTTAATATCGGTTCCACAAGCTTGATTAACCAACAAATTTCAATTCCGGCCTCATTCCAAGCAGTTAAACTAACGTTATATATACCATACTCTGTGAAATTATACTGTATAATATTCTCAATTAATCCGAATGAATCTACGTGATCTGCTTTAAACCAATTCCATGATATTGAATCTCCTCTGTCTGTAAAATTTACAATGTAATTTACATCACTTCCTTCACTCCATGTAACTGAAAATTGACTTATGGTTCCTTCCGTTAAATTATTAGTGACAGTCCTAAGATTTAGATCTTTGATTGTTAGGCCTAAACAGTTTATATAGCTTTCAACATTCGTACAAGAAAGACTATTTTTAGAATGAAGGAGACTATAGGATGATCCATTTGCCGGTAGAACTTTGAAACATAAAAATTTGTATTTAGAGCAGAGACTTCTGGGAATTTTGAATGTGTTAATAAATTCCATTAAAATATAACAATTGATTGATAAATTTGTTTGAATAAGCGATGAATTAACAATACTTTTATAGTATTGTACTGAATCATTCATTTCCAAATTAATATCAGTAAAAAACAATGTAATATTAAAATTATTCCTGTTGAATGGAACGTTTTCAACGCTAAATCTTTTATCGATATTCGTCCATTTTAAATATGTTTGTAAATGTTGAATATAACCCCTTACTATTGTTTGTCTGGGAATAGTAAGATTTGCCTCAATATCAACAGCTGAAATAGAAGATAAAAATCAACAGATTATTGACTGCAGACAGACAGACTATACCTGGTGTACAATTTTTATAAGGTGTTAGGTCAATGCATAAAATATCATTAGTTCTGTTACTTTCCGTAAAAGATGATGAATTTGACGAGATAATTCTAAAGCAAATGTACAAGTCACCTTCGCACTGTGACCTTGAAAAATAAGTTGAAATTTGAATTGTTAAATTTAAAGTATTTCCGATTTTAATGCCATTTTGTTTTTGCTTTAATTCTAGTTCTACCATCTTCCAATTAGGATTTGTACTATTAATATCTTCTATTCTACTGGTTGAAACACTTTCAATATCATAATTAAAATATTCATCGAATAATTCTATGACGTCATGAAGATTTGAAGGTAAATTCAATAAAGTAATAGTAAAAGTATGATTTTGAATAACGCTTCTATAAAACTGTTGTTGCCCATCAAGTAGAGTGATTTTCAATATTGATAAATCTAAATCTGGTTTGCAATTTACAAAATTTGAAAATATAGAACAAATTTGATTGTTTGCCTTATCCCATTCCAGATATTTGCTGTAAGGCGATTCCAATACATTAATGCAGATATACGTCTTGTTGAAACATTGTAATTTCGGAAAGTTGAAGAAAACTGATAAAGATATAGTGGCTTCACCCCTTTTTGATGAATTTTTTTCCATCCTACTAAGTAATTCTTTGTTTAGTCCATGTTCCGAAAATAAGCTTACGTTTTTCCTCCATTTTGCGGTTAGGTTACTACTAACTGAATCGGAAATATATATTGTAAAATCATAGTTGGTTATTGGTAAAGTTGATTCGATGATTGGCCAACCAGCATTATTCACTAATAGGGCTGTTAAATTTACGATACTCTCTTCCTCCCTGATAAACTCACCCTCAAAGTTAACCTCCTTCAAAAGAATGTCTGTAGCTATTATTTAAAAAAAGAAGCGTAATGTTAATAAAAATTCAAAAAGCCTAAAAGGTATAAACAGTTTAGAAAGCCTACCTCGATAACAATTGTTATCTTTGCGAATAGTGTAGGCGGAACATTGACATGAATAAGGTAAATAATCCAAATCATAGGGTTCTTTTTCCGGAATACAAACTGTATTTTGTTCAAAACAGTTTGAATCCGAATCGCAATTTTCGCCAAAAGCCTTTTCCATTTCTGTTAGAATGAAACAAAAAAAAGAGAAAATGATTAAAATAAATCAATTTTATTCAATAAGAAGAAAAAAGACTTTTTACTTTTTGTTTTTGTGTTAATTTCAACTTCGCATAACGTTAATCTAAGATTTTCACCTACCATCCAGATACCTAGATATGAACCTTTAATAGATTCATCGTCGCAGTCAATTGTCTGCTTTACACCAGCTCCAATAGCTCCAGTGTAATGTTTGCATAATCTAAATACTGAAGTATCAAAATGACTTTCATCAAACGTCTCCGAGAGACCTATTGTAAAGTTGGATAATTCGGAAGCTATTGTTTTCGAAAGATAAAGAATGCTTAACAAGATTTTTACCATTTGATTATAAAAAAAAAAAACAATTATACAGTGTTTGTTTGTTTTACTCACAGCAACAATCTTTCCTATTCGCAACTGTTATTCCTGTGACATTAAAAACTTTTTGTAAATTGACAACCCACCAAGGATTGGTTGTAAATTCCCCCATTGCGCAATAGCCTAGTGTAGCATCACTAAGTGATATGCCATCAATTGCCAGATTAGCTTTATTGTCCCCTTTAGTTGTCTTTTGAAAAGCTATTTTACCAAGAGCAACATTATCTAAAAGTGGAAAAACAGTTTGTTGTTTGTATATGAATAATACATGGAAATCGATTTAAGAGAAAGCTCTCATAGTCCTAGGCGTAAGATCTACGCCTAAAAACAAGGAACTACTTTCTCTATCAATCAATTTCATTGAGTTAACTAACATTTATGCCGTGGCTTAATTTTAAAAATATACTTTTCAACTTGAAATTGGTATTTATCATTTAAATCAGTCATATCAATTGACCAATTAGAAATGAGGCCTAGCAGATTCGATGTAGAACAAGAATTATTTGGAAACCACCAACCACTATTTGTATTTTGTGCGCAAGATAATTCATTGTCACTGTCGATTGTGTAAAAATTGGCAGTATTTAAAAAGTCGGCTGATTGAGCACTGCCACTTAAGAATTTTGATATGGTTCTTGAATATAATTTACTTTCTGATTCAATAAGAATTCCTTGGAATTCATTGTGCACGTGACTGCCATCTTTCGACCACATATCAATTCTTCCATTATACTCTCTAAAATTTGTTAAATAGCTCGCTAATTGGTTGCCAGCCCAGAATTCTTTGTCATCTTCATATCCATTCTTATAATCAGACCAAGATTTTGGCAATAAACCATCCATTGATAGCTTTTGTCCAAGAATTGTCCAATCTCCAAAACATTTTAATTTAGCACTCTTATCGGCTCCTCTAACATAAAAGTTAGACGACGATTGCAGCGATAGACAATCTGCAATAAATTCAACGCAACCATACAATTCAATTTGCATAGCGAAATATAAATTCTTATCAAGAAGATTGAATTTAAGAAAACGGGTTATTAGATTAGTTTTAAATGTATAAAATCTTGCGTAATAGTGATTGAACAACCCTTGAAAAACACGATTATTACTGATATCCCAAGAAATATTCTTCCAGTCTACATTGTTTAAAGATGATTCTATTGTGAAATTTTTAACATATCCGGGTTCATTCAATTTTCCTGTTCCTTGTAATACGAACGAAGAGATTGTCAATGATTGATCGAAATAGAAGAGGATCCACGGATTTAAATCTTCATTGCTAGATCTCCAAAAACCTTCCGGGCCTTTTCGAACGTGCAGCGGTAGTTTAGTTTTATCCGTTGATGAGTCGTATTCTGAAGAGACGTTCCATTTTATTCCCAAAACCTTTTCTTCAATAAGCCTTTGAAAGCATTTACCTAATTCACGAGAAAAAGGAAGGATCAGGTCACGAAAGATGATTGAATGAATGAACAAACAAACCAGGATAAACAGTTTCAAAGTATAGTTTATCTTTATCGTCAACGTCTCTTTTGAGGTAAGCGTTTTTTGAGTAGGTATTTGACGAATAAAGTATACAATCCTTTGTATTTGTATCAAAAGCAAATGAAATACAAATAAATCTGATCTCTTCATTACACGCCATTAAACAGTCAAATCTGGTATTAAAGTCACTTTTATAAACCATTTTACTGCTAGTTGCATTTAATGAAGCTGCATCAACAACTGTCCACAACTGTCCAATTTTTTCATTAACTGGTACTGCAAAAATTTTCCTTTTCTTATTAATAAGACCAATGGCAAAAAATTTGTTTACATATTGCCTCTTTTTCACAAGATATTAAAATATTGTCTAAATTACAAGATAGCTTTATCCAGAAACCAGACAATATGTCAAAACCTCCACAACTACCGGATCCTTTTGATGTGTGCCATCGAATTATCTCGTCCGTTGGTAGAGTACTTCCATCAGGCCAGGTATATTTACCAGTTTTATATGTTAATCCCATACGTGTTTTTTGCGAATTTCTAATTTTAAACAATTTACTCGCTTTTTTGTGCAGTGACAGATAAAAACAAACAGTTAAAAAAAAGGACTCACTTTGAAAAGAAACCTTGAAGGAATACATTTAGAATTTCATCATATTTCGGTGAAATTAGGTTCCCTTCACCAAGCCATGGTATACCTTTACACTGCTCAATTGAATTGGCATACGTGGCTGGTGTAGAAAATGAATGAGAGATGCATTTTCTACCAAAAACAAAATATCCAGGCGGACATTCTAAGAATGGTTAATTAATTCAATTAGATTAAATACTAATATTTAGTGTATAGACTGTTCTATACCTGAGTACTTTTTACAATGAATAGATATTTTCCAGCAAACGAAACTTTCACTTTGAATAAAGAGCGCAACGTGTACAGCCATTATGGGAATGGATAATAAAACTTGGTGTAATGACTAGAGATTGAGAGAATATTTCAAATTTAACATTCAACATTCAACAGACAACAACAAAACACCTTACATTCGACTGTAAATGATCAATGCCATTTGTATAGTTATACCAGTCAACAGAGTTGATTGAGTACTGAATTGTTAATTTCATAAGTTGGGTTGCATTGGAAACTATTGAAAATCCAGTTACTGTGTAAACCGTTTTAAAATTTAGACTTATTTTAATTGGTTGTTGTTGTTGGGTAAAATGTTTAGGGCATGCTAAATTAGCATTTTCATTAATCAATAAACTTCCCCAATATATTGAATTTCCTTGAACAGAATCTTCTTGGATAAGGATTCTTTCTAATTCATTTGATGGATTCTTTACTGGATCTTGTTCTGTATACAAAACTGCAGAAATAAGACGCTATTCTTAACAAAATCTACTCGTCATATTTACGTTTAATGCAGCCAATAATTTCCAAGCGTAAAGCTTTCTTCCCTAGCCATTGTTTTGGTGTGAACCTCATAAATCTTGATTCTATTGTATTGTTAAAAAGTAACAAGTACTTCATATTTCTCGTCAAAGTAGGATTACTTCTAAGATAAAGTGTCTAATTGTGAAATGGACTAGATAAGACAGTTAAGATTATTAGTAAAGTGTCCTATTTACTTTACGATTTAGAGGCTCCTCATACATTTTCCATCCATGAATTCTATATAATGAGTACTCGACCGAAAAGTCGTAAATATAATACTTTTGATTTTTACAGGATTGGGAAATAAAACCTGTAACAAGGTATACATGACCTAAATCTATTTGTATATAGTCATTTGGTGGTGGCGAATTGGTAATCCAACAGTTTACGCTATCCAGTTTAATATTATATATATAGTAGGGCTTGGTATAAGATGGAGAAGTTATTTGCGAAGCATGCATTTGGTTTGTGTTGCCAATACCCAGTGGATGGTTGCATTTAGGAGTAAAAATTGGAATTTCATCTTCATTTAAATATCTTCCATACAGTTGAAGAATAAGAGAAGCATAGTTATTTTTACTAGTTGGATTGAATCTTAACGACTCACAAACAATGTTTGGAGCGAATTCTATATGATTATAATAATCTGAGCTTTCTTGTATAAAATAATTCTGTTAAAGTAGTATTTTCCATAAAAATCATGAATGTTTTCTTAAATGATCTATTTAAAGCCTTACAATTATATCACCGTCCTTATCCCTTATGGCTAACCATTGGTCATATGAAGATCTTTTGTAAAAAATCTGCGCTGTCTTTGTATATTGATTAAAAGAATATCTGCCGGATGTAGTAAAGGCAGTTAATCTTACTAATCTGTTAAAATTCACTTCCAAATAGCATTCGGTGCTCAACGCTAGCGAGCACACTGCTGGTACGTTAGAAGTGCGACTACTTCCCACCAAGTAATTGACGTGTATGTGATTATACGCTCCGTAAATGTTGACTGTTACATTAAATTCTTGTTCACTTTCGTCATTTCCTTCCGGCATTAATCTAGAACTTTTATCATCAAAGCAAAACTGCTCTAAAAAATTAGTGTTTACTTTATAACTAAATTTCGTTATGTCATATTTTAACATGGAACTCGATATATTATATAATTGGCATTTTACCCGTTTATCCAATCTGTACGCGAATATTTTGTCATTACTTGCAAACTATTCATTTTTTTTATAATAATACATACACAAAATGCCATCCAACTGAAATACACCAGCTACGGGAGAGACAATAGTCCAAGCAAGTTCTCAGATAGGTATGATCTATATACGCTTTAGGACTAACCAATGGATTATAATTTGGCTTTAGACTATATATAGGCTGACATTTTTCCTCAGCAGTATAATCTCTCTCATCGTCTGGTACTGTTGTTTTTAAAGAATGAAAAATTGTTTATTGAATGTATTAATTATTAGAAATGATGAATAATTGTATACAATTTGGTAAAGTTTCGCACATTGCATATGCCAAATCATTGCAAGTGCTTCTATCAAAGAAATCTCTAGCGATAATACAAGGCCAAGTGTAGACAGGAACATAATTTGAAGCTCTTGTTAAATAGTTTGTAACTTTTGTTCCATCCAGCCAAACAAATTTATCCAGCGTTGTTTGCTTAGCACCTATATAGATACCGTACATCTTCTTACTAATGAAAATATAAGCAATTGCTCATTAATCATATAGTTAAACATGTAAATTTTGAATTTTTGTACTTCAAAACGAAATGTCTTTTAACAAAGTCTATCTCTATTGTAGTTTTTGGCATTACCAAATTGCCTTCACCTTTCCAACTAAATCCATTCTGACAGAATTTACGACACGCCTCAAACGTTCCTTGTACATCGGAAGTTGTATAACATTTATTCAAATTTCTTACCGAACCTGGTGGACAAACTGGCGCTTTTTCACCAAAAAATTCAAATCTCATACATTCTTCGTGTCTTTTATTAAAGTTTAGGCGGATGAAGCGAAACCTCAAAGCAGGCGACGAGAAAATAACAGTTCTATTCATTTCGTACTCACACGTTATTTCCTATTCAAAAACACATACAAAAGAAATATATTATCTAATAAGATAGCGGTGACTGTTGAAAACGGCCATTTTGGAGCTATTTTGGTTTGGTAATGAATGAAGGAATGATGGGTTTAGGATCAATATTTAAGCAATTGATTTGTAATCAGGTAGGTTCAAACAAATGGGTTAGCAACGATGGAGAAGTTAAAACAGGGTCCAGGGATATGTTAGGGTTATGGTAAAACCACAAAACTGTGGCCGTTATTCAACATTCATCCAAAGATGCCATTATTAAAAATTCACCTCTTCAATTCTATTCATATTTGTTTTATTGTACTGAGCTCCATATATTAAAGTATCATTGCAGTTATCCCATTGTAAGCTTTCTTTATAATATATGAAAATCCTTTCTATATAGTATATCACACCAAAGTCAACAAACCACCAAGCACCCGTGTCACTGTCGCTCATACACCAAAAGGTATCTTTAGTATTGAGTGCCATTTTAGGAGAAGTAGCCAAACTTTTGTAGGATGATGCAATAATGATCTTAGGGAATTTATCAGTTGTATTCAATTTTGGATGTTTAGCTGGATAACCATACAACTCCATAGTAATACTACTAACTATATGATACTCTCCAGTATAAGTGAATCTTATATAACGAGCGATAATTGGCTGATGAAATACCAATTGAAAAAGTTGGTTTGAATGATGAACAGTATATTTTTTTATTTCTCCATTGTTTGTTGTATGATCGTACCATTCAACCAGATCATTTGTATACATCACTCCAAAGCTTTTCAAATAGCCGTTTCCATTACACTGACCACTTGATATAACTTTTACAATATGATGTTGAATTCCCAGATCAAATTGCCACTTTCCCGATGAAATATAATATCCAAAAGTTTGAAAAACAGGTATACAACCCAACCGAATTTCGTGAATTCCGTAATCTAAGTTGAACAGTTTTTCGGATAACATTTGAGAATGTAATATATAAAGATTTGTTAAACCGAGCGGTTTTGTGAATTTATCAACATCAATACCACTGCTGTAGTTGAAACCAAATATTTCAAGCCTTAACGCCAATCTTCCTTGATAAATTCCAGGATAAAATACAGCGTATTGAGCAATCAGGTAGGGATTGAATGCATTTTGAACGACAGATTTATGGTTAATATTTCCAAAAAATTTCTGAAAAGATTATTGTTTATAATCCTATACCAGTTTATGTTGAAATATCAAAAAAATAAAATTACCCGACGTTCTCCCTTAGACGTTTTTACAATATTTACAATATCTGTTCTATTACTGACGTCCAAATAGAAATATTTTATCCACGTATTATCCCTACCACCAGCGCCCTCTATATTAATTCTTGTCATTCTAACTATTCTTCCAAAATTGAACTTATTTTTAAAAATATAATGAATGTTAGGCATTAAATTAGTAAACGTTTTAGAAACTAACTTTTATATATGAATTTACGGATGATAGACGAAAGTGGCCGCCATTCATTGGGTTAGATAAACCGTAGAATTGTCTATCAACCATCCGCAATTGAGATACTCCATACTTGGTTGGATATAGTACTACATCAGTTTCAATGTTGCCATCCGAAATTCCAGTTGGACCATTAATTAAAGCTTCCTCTTTTTCATCACCCTCAACTATAGAATACATTTCCCAAGTGTCCCAATGGCTAGTATCGTATATCGGTTCAGAATTTGTATCGGAAGTGGTAGTACCATTGTACAAATAGCATTTTCTATCAGTATTCTTAAGCTTAAAACTGAAACCTTTACACTTAAAGCTTGTTTGATGTTGACACAGGTACGAGCAACCCTCAACCTGAGCAGTTTCATAGGTTTGCGCCAAATGAGCAGAATTTAATCGAGCATTGTGAAGAAAGAACCACTTGATGATTGGGGCATCGATTTTCCCTTTTAGAAGAAAAAGAAACGGCAATTTCAATTTAATAATAAAAAATGATACGGATAATATAAAATTGAATTAAAACTAACTATTAGCCTTCATTTCGCATATATAATGACTATAAACAGAACAATCTACGTTATGCCAGCCTTGATTTGAAGAAAATGCGCAATATTGTGAAGGAATGTCAGGCTCCCCGGTCATGTAATCACGATCGAAATTTGTAAAATTATGCCGAGCGTCATTAGTCCACTGCCAATTAACGTTTGAATTTAGCTTCTTCATTCGACTAGTTTGCGCAATGGAATCATTTCTTATCAATCCAATAAATATTCTAGATGTTAATCTAAAGATTATAAAATAGTGCTCAAAACGTAAAATTCTGATTTATCAAAAAAAAGAGACTGGCAAACCTTCTCATTAAATATACGGCAAGTGAATCTTCTTCTATTGAGGAAATTTCAATGACGTATGCTTCACTAGACCAGACAACATTCCTACAAATACTCCTTATCAAGTTAGTATCATCATTCGAACTACCGTAGATTGAACCAGGAAAGTATTGATAGCATGATTCACCGTATTCTATTGTATTTGGTGGACAAGCTTCAGCTTCGCATGCATTAACAAAGTACTCAACGCACGGGATAACGAAATTACTAGCTAAACTCCAGAAGTTTAATTGTAATTTAGTTGCCGAATGAAGATTTAGTAATGTTATATTAAAGGTTTTATCATCGTCTAATCGGTTAATTGTATATTTATCCAATGGTCTCCAAACGTTATTGCCCCTAGACCAGTCTATGCTCCATTCTGGAATTGGTGTATTTGAAAATTGAATTTGAACAGCTGTTAAATGATATAATAAATGAAATTCAATGACGATTGTAGATTCCACTCTTTTATAAGTTGAATTTGACGTTTTATTGTAAATATTTGTCGTTTTCTGTTGCATAGGACAAGTTGCCGTTGTTGTTGCATTGTTTTCAAGGTCAAGTCTTGGACAAACGGCTATGAAAGTGAAATTTAACTCATTTTTGAAACAGCAACTTTTTAACTCTTACCATCTAATTTCCCATAAAATTCAAATAACGCACATCCAGAGCCGATGACGCTATCTGAGTAAATACGAACATATCTAGCTCTTATAGGCTCGTCCAATCTTACTTGAATTGGGGTGAGCGTTTGCCATTCGATTGATCCAGAAAACTGTAAGACTTCTCCATTGCTATTTTTGACCTTTTCCAACATGTCTTCAATATGGTAGGCTACAGCCAGAGAGAATTTTTTAAGATAACCTGCGGAAGTTGCGGACGGAGCTACACTCAACCCATAGAATTGAATGGGCAATGACCATGTTACATCGAACCAATCGTCACTCTTGACTGGGATAAAACACTGTTTCTGGAAAGGATAATCACTGGCACGGCCTCTCAATCTTGCTAGAAAAGGGGCATAGTGATAAGTAGTACTAGTCGTAATATGTTTTGCGCTTATTTGCATATCATCTATAAGACCCGACTCCATTCCCAATGCAACTCCTTCCAGATCTGTATGAGAAAAATGAATAGAAGCATTTTTAACGGATTAATGCCAATCCAAACCTCTAACTGAAATGTTTTCATCCAGCTGACAACCCCGAACTGATAAACGGAAATCCGGTGTCAAGTGCCAACTTTTGGGATTAATGCGAAAACAACGTAAAACAATTGGCAATTTGAAGAGAATAACCCTAGCCAGAGACCAGAATTTATGACCAATCATTTCCTTCAAATGATGTAAAATTAACGACAATTTAAATTTATTACACAGAAGAAAAAAAACTTACAATAATTTCTTTTGTTTCTTTTCTATTGTACCAAGAAAAATCTAAACAATTCAAACTATGCAAAAAGTAATGATTCTCTATTGTATGTTTGCCGTGTCTCTCTCCACCTAGAATATGATATCCAGTTATATTGTAAAGATTTATGAGATCTACTTGAAGCCATTGGAATAGGTTTATGTTTTGTGGTCTAAAACATCCCAGAAAGTTGTCTTGTTTGAAACTTTCAACTTTGGCTTGTTGAGGTTGAGACTGATCCAAAACATTTACAGTAGATGCTGTAAAACTCGATTCAGGAAGATTATCTATAACAGTACTTTCCTTCATACAAAATGGCGCCGTATTGCCTTCGCATTCCCATTGATAAATGTTAAATGTTGAATCAAAGATTAATTTATCAAAATCCTCAGCAAAAACTTTTGTCGAATGTATAAAACATTGTTTGGTAATAATATTCCACGAAATACTAGAACAATTGCCGAGTTTACCAGAAAAGCAGTCCTAATAGGGTTCAAGAAAGAAGGAATATAATATTAGCAAGTTCAATATCAAAATGAATATATTATACTTGAAGACAAATCTCTAATGGACCCTCGAATTTAACGGATGGTCTAGGATCTTTATACTTCTTTAGAACGTGCCAATAAGGTCTACAGCCACTCTTATCAACTAGTTTATTGAAAGAAAAAAACTAACATGAAGGTGTTTGTTTTGTTTGTTGATTTATTTATTTAAAATGACAAACTTTCTGATATTTCACAAATATAGCCAGGATTGCTATACGTCTCAGGAACGTCTAACCACATTCCAGTTTTTGTTTCCATGACTACGTAGGGTTCGTTGTTCATGTAATTATTTTCGCCATTGTCGAAATTATGAAAATTCAATGGTGTTCCATCAAACCAAACGAAATCAGTGGAAAACTTTCCTTGCGTATCATTTCTAATTAAGCCTATATAATAAGAATTTCTAATAGAATATTCCAGATATAGCTGAAGAAATGAAAGCTTTCTAGCAGATTCAATTTTTATCACAGTTCCACTAAGATTTTTGCACAACGAGTTGATTTGTAAAGGTGAATTTGAATTGTTTTCAAGTTTGATTACGCAATTATCCAGATATCTTATCCAGCCAGAGGGACAATTATCACCTATTTGTTTTTGTTTGCCTTTTTTAAACACGCTAAATTTTTTAATTATTAAATTTACCTTGCGCAATTTTTACCATAGGAATTAAAGCGAAAATCAGCATGAAAAGCAACTCCATTTCCAACTGATGTTGCTCAATTGTTCACAGATTCATTTTGCTTGAATCTTTTAAATAAATATGATATTACTCAGTTCCTTTAAAAGGTTAATTTAATGTGTAAACAATAAACAAATGTAAGAAACACGTATTATAATGACTAAAGAGAAAAATGATGATCCTGAATTATTGAAGAGAGATCAATACACATTTGCGTTCAGCTTTTCCAAGAATAATCTAGCCCTGACCCTGAGAATAAGAAAAAATTTACCATCTTAACAATATTTATTATTCTTTTATATATATAGCTATTGAAATCGTAATGGAACGATTTAGTATGGTATAAATTACCTTTTGTTGAATTTTATATAATATAATTAATGCCTTAAGTTTTCATTATTGATTGTCTTAATATTTGATACATTAAAATGATTGGTGTTTTTATAACTGAAATCTTAATTATTCATAATGCAATCAGAGAGGTAAAATTGAAAATGAAACAATTTATAATTTTCATTTTGTTTATTATTTAACGCCATCTAGTGGGAGTATTTAACAACTTAGGACAACGGGGTAAAATATAATTTACGTCCCCAGTCTTGGGTTAATCAACTCAATTCCAGATCTTTGGATACCAATTAACAACAGCTATTAATGTACAAATGTTCAAACAAGATAAGCATAAACCTATCCTTTCATAAAAGTGGACTTTGCTCTTCAATTACTGCTTCTATGACTGCCTCTGTCCAGGAAAACCCTACAGTATTTCCTATCATACTTTAAGTGTAACTATTTGTTTGCTACTAGTTACTATTGATTAGTCTTACAGTTGAAAAATATGAAAACCCTTTCAAAATGTCGTAAAATCACGTACTAAATACTTAAATTGGCAAATTCTTATACAGGTGGCGCTGGTAGAGATGTGTGAAAAATAAGCTACTTTTTACTTTTGTTCTTTTAGGACAATGAAATTATACAAAATTACTTGGAATAGGCCTACATGATTGTAAATCTGAATCAAATATTGGTTTTAGAATTGGTGATGTAATTGGAAGTCAAAAGAACTTGATCAATTGATTTTTGGCGATAATAGATTAGCTTTACCTAATAGTCAATTTAATGCAACAAATGGCAATGTAGTTAGCAAAGCAATTGGACACCAAAAAGGCTTGACTTTCTTATTTATTGGCGAAAATCAATTTGGTTTTGAAATTGGAAATGTATATTTGAAAATATTAAGGAAAATTGTATCAAATAAGAAGCGTTAGGCCTATTAAATTGCAGTTTTGATGAAAGTATTGGTAGTGTTGTAGGCGAAGCAATTGGTATGCGAAAGCAACTCAATTATTTAACTCTTGATAAAAATAAATTAAGTTCAAAAGTTTGAAGGAATATTTAAAAATAAAGTAAACTTCATAAAAATTGGAACACCTCTAATTTTGAATAGGCCAACATATTAACAATGTTTTCCACTAAGAAAAAAGAATTTTTTTAATTTTTTTTGCATAAAATGTTAGATGAAGCTTAAATTTATATATAATTTTCTTTCAAATACGATTTAAGTAAGATTTTACATCATTTTTTTTTGTTTATATCATGTACTGTTTTATTGATTTTTTTTTCTTATTTGGCCACACTTCATAATAATTGGAACACCAACAAAAATGTTCCTATTATTCCTATTTATGAATATGACTACCCTTTTTTTGAAACATTGCCTGATTCTATGCCCCATTCCATCATATAGACTTGGTATCAACCCTGGCTGCTCTTTTATAAGCTCATAAGAGCATTTTTTTATTTTTTTCCACAATTCAAACCTGAGGATGAATTGTAGACCATCATATACCAGGTTTTTGGTAAGGTGCCACATGTTCTCAATTGGGTTGAGGTCAGGGCTCTTTGCTGGCCAATCTAGAGGATGGATGTCATTCATCTTAAAGGCTCTTTTAGTCATCCTTGCTGTGTGGCACCCAGCATTATCTTGCTGGAAGATGTATTTCCTCCCCATTTTTACCTCAATCTCTTTGATAACAGGGAGAACATCTTCCACAATAAAACAGCTGTAATTTTCAGCATTAAGCCTTTTCTTTATCTACCAAATTTGGAATATTCCATCAAATGTTATCAGTCCCCAGACCATTACTCCATCTCTGCCCATATCTTTTTCACTATCTTTGGTCCACATACCAAAGTCATTTGGCCCACTCAGTGAGAATCTAGCCTTGTCAGTGAAAATTACTTTAGACCAGTCTAGATTACCACTGATCATCTGAAGACAGAAACTTTTTCTCCTCTTACAATTATTTGTTGTAAGATCAGGTGTTTGCCTAACTCAATTATACCTAAATTTTGTTTTTTCAACTCCCTTTGAATGGTTAATAGGCTAACATCTACATCTAACTCTTTCAAAAATTTTCTTGCTGTCAACCTCTCCTTATTTATTTTTATTTTCTGTATAGGCCTCTTCATCCTGCCTATATCTCTCTCCATAAGTTTCTTTGAACAACCTCTATTCTCCCCTTTTGGTAGTTGATACCTTAAAATATTGCTAACAGAAGAGGGTGCCATTCCTAAAGCTCTTGCTGTGGCTCATAGTTTTGGTATTTCATTGTATTTCTTGAATACAAGCTCCCTAATGTCTTTACTCCTCATCATATTTAAAAAAGTACAATAAAAATAAAGTAATATAAATGAAATTAACAATTAATTGATAAAGATAACTTAGAAAATCAAAGACGTTAAAAAAAAAGTTTTTTTGGATATCTATTTGAATGCCAAACAAGATGTCAATTTTTATTTAAAACAATTGTCTTTTATGTTCTTAAAAATTTCTCTACCAATATCTGATCCAATGGCATTTTTTTCCAAATTCAGATATTCTAAATTCGGATTACACCCTATTGCTCTTCCAATTATCAAACCAATACTCTCATTAAATGAACAGTCTGATAAATCAAGTACTTTTAATTCAAAACAACTATTTTTAATATTTTGAAATATTTCTTTTCCAACCCCAGATCCAAATGCATTGTCTTGTAAATTCAGATATTGCAAATGAGGATTACAACCAATAGCTTTTCCAACAACCATACTAACTTCAGGATCAAAGAAACATTCAGTAAAGACTATTTCCTTCAATTGAGAACAATTGTCTTTTATATTTTGAAATATTACTTTTAGAATAGCTGTATCAATAGCTTCATCAGGCAAATTGTCTTCTTTTTCACCTTGTGAATTCAGCTCGTTATCCAGTTGTGCAATTTTTTCAAGATGTTTGTTTAAACTAATTATTTATTAAAATTACAATTTTTCTTTATAGATTCTAGGAAAATTATGTCTGAGTCAAACTGAAAGTTAGTGTTTTTAAAGTAAAGTTGTTCCAGTTGCTGTAAACCTTCATTATTCGCACTAAATAAAGAAGTACGTTGTGTTTCTAATAGAGAGTTTTTATTTAAGATTTTAGTTCTGGCTTCATTTAAAATGAATGGATTTAAATTGAGTAGTGATATCTCTTTGATGTTAACATTTGTATGAATAGTTGATTCAAGTTTCTTATCTGATGGTCTTTTACTAAAGTTACAGGTTTGAATCTTATTCTCAATTTTTTAATATTGTTTTGAGTTTCTAAAATTTTAATGGTCTTTTCGAAGACATCTTTTTCAAAAATGCTTTCATCAATTTCAAAGACTTGAATTGATATTTTCAAATTTCTTAAAATTTCCAGTTTACTACTCAATTTAATCTTTTTACATTTTGTAATAATTAATGTATTATGTTGAAAGTAATGGTTTAAATGATAAAAAATATCCTGGATAAGTGAAAAATTGAAGTTTTCAGAATTTAACTGCTTAACTAGATCAATATCATGCAATTGAATTTTTTTGTCATCTAAATCAATTGAGTTGAATATTTGTAAATTTGATATTTGATTGACTTGTTTGGCTAAATCAATTACATTTTCAATTTTTAAATCACAGTCATAAAAGAATATTTGGGCTATCTTTGTCTTTTTCAGGGTTACTATCTTTTTGAAAAATTTAATTATTGTACAAGCTTTAAAATTATTTTCTGAAAAGTCAATAACTTCGAGTGAATTTAAAACATTTAACTGTTTTGTAATAGCTATCAAGAATTTATCGCTCAAGTTGCATCTTTTTAAAAAGAGTTCTCGTAAGTTGTTTTCCTGAATTGAATGAAATATTTCACCATGAATATTTAAGTTATTGTCTGAAATGTTTAGATAACTGTAGTTATTGAAAGTATATTTCTTGTTGAAGAGTTGTTCTGTTAAATTGCATTTGCAACAGTTGATTTTCAGATTTGCTTTTAAAGGATGTTTTAATAGAGATAGTATTTTATGTGCCTTCTTTTCAATCCCAGTATTATGACTGATTGATAAGTCTGACAAATCCTTTAGTTTTGGCAAACTTTCACTTAAATAATCAATAGATTGATCAGTTAAATTACAATTTGTCAAATCTAATTGATTTAATTGAAGCGATGTGTGAATAATTTTTTGAAATACACAAAATAATAAATTATTGCTGATATCATTATTTGTAAATGCTACAGATTTCAAATTCAATTTACTTGATTCATTGTTCAAGTCTATTTTATCATCCAAGACTTTTATTTTTGGTAGTTTTAGTCTTTCTAGAGAATCCATTTTGAGGATATATTTTATAAATTCACAATCTTTAGATTCTATCAAAGTATTTCCCTCCAACTCTAACACTCTTAGAAATAAGCAATTCTTAAGTAATGTCACCAATTCTTGTGCAGAAAACTTTATATTACAATGGTTAAGCTTTAATATTTTCAAATAATTATGATTTTCTGCAATTATTGATATTAACAACTTATCTGAATTTTGACTGAAGTTTTTGTCGCATAGGCCTAATTCAGTCAATATTGTAAAATTTTTCAGACTATTTATCATTGAACATTGAAAATCCTTGATCACATTAATTGAGATTGATTTTTTTAGCATCACTTGATAAAAGTGTATTGAACAGCATA